CAATATGATAAAATAATACGGTAAATATATTTTAAGGATAAATTTTAAGCTTTTATCAAATATATTAATCTAAATATTTTTTTATTTAATATTAAATATGTAATATTTAAAAAAATTTTATGTTAGATCATATCTATGTAGAATTTAATTTATTTTTTAAATTAAAATTTAAGATATTAAAAATAAACATTTATATTTATGAATAGTTTAATAACGAAAAATATATCTTAATTAATTATGTACTAAAATAAAGCCTAATTACCAATATTACTATTACAAAATAATTAATATTTCGTGATAAAGAATGAATATGAAGTCATTCTAAACACTTCATATAGATGTGTATTAAAAATAACATAGATGTAACAATCTCTTCAGTCGCTTTCTAGAAACAATACTTTGCGCTACACGATTATGATTGCGACAGCATGGACATTTATGAGTTTGATGTCATTGCTCACTAACTTCAGACATAGGAGGTTAACATATAGAGGATGGATACCGTATGATTATTCGTCTTATATAAAATTTTGTCTTACGTACGGTCAGCAACTATTAAGCACGTTCCACGGTGCTTCTGTAAATGTTGCTTGCGATACTCTCCTGTGCGGGTTTTTAATGCACATATGTTGTCAGATCGAGATCTTGGAATATCGTCTAAAAAAAAATGTGTGCAATCAATTTAGTCTGGACTATTGCATACACCACCACAACCGGATTTTTGAGTTAGTTTGTCAAACACACATATATGAACGGTGGAAAGCTAAATATTTATTTAATTCAATATTACTTTTATGCGTTAGTTATTTGATCAAAATTGTGATAAAATTATTACATATATTTTTTGTATTTTTGTTTTTATTTATTAAAAAAAAATTAATTTTCTTATGTCATTCTAAAATAAGTAAATAAATTATAAATTTTTTACACGTATCACTTGATACGGTAAAGAACTTATTATACGTATTACCGATTTTAGACATTTATGTTATCGTATTTATTATAAATATTTTTACTATATTTTATTAATATCTCTTTTAGTTTATTTTGTATATTTTATAATTTTTCATAATTTTTCCTATTACTACAATCAATTTAAAAAAATTAATTATAGTGATCAAGGTTTTATTAACTAATTGGAATATCAATATCACAATAGTCTAAAAATAATGATTCAAAATAAAGGAGTATAAAAGCCAATCAGCGGGATGTACGTTTAAGTGTGTATTAAATAATTTCATTGTAAATATATATATGAGACATTCCATTATAAATCGAACACTTTTCAGACGACTATTTTTTAAATCGCTTGAAACTTTTTTTACGTGTTCTAGGCATGAAAAAAGTGGACCCGTGTCTCGGGAATTTTTTTTTTTTTTTTTTCCGAAGATATCGGGATTTTAATTTTTGACGTGATGCGTTTTATGGCTTCATTCAAACCTTCATATCTCCGGTAAATTTTGTCGAAATGGAACGAATTTTTTTTCATTTTGAAGCTGAAAACGTCAGCTTTCTAATGCTTATTTTTTCAATTAGTGAATTTGCAAAAATAGCGGTGTAAATAACAAATTAATGTTTTAAAATGAATTTTGACATTGATGAACCAGGTTTGGTAAGTTGAAAAAAATTCCATTGAATTCCTCGTCAAATTTCCTAAAAAAAACATATTTTTCCAGAATGGTATCTTTATGGGCACTATTAGAAAAAAATTAATTCTTCCGCGGCGCGCGCACCTCCACGGCGCGCGGACTCCCGCAGGGACCGTCCGTCAGCCGGCGCGCTAGGTAATGTGCGTATGTATATAACATGCTCAATAATATATATATATTCCCGATATATTTATAGATTTTAAATCAGTTTTACGTAATCGATTATTATTTAAAGAATATGTCTATATTTTTTATAATACAATGTTACTGAAGTCAGTATTATTTTCATTTCCTTAGGTACATGTATGCACGCAGATTTTTTAAGAAAGGTGTAGATGATAGGAGTACAAATTATTATTTAGAATATTTGTAATGCAAAAATGTTTATTTCATTATTTTTACAATCAAATAATTAACTATGAAGCAATAATATACTTAAGTTATTGTAAGTAATTCACTTTGGTTAGAATGTCAAATCGCGCGTCAGTGATTTCAAATTTTTTTTTTTTTTTACGGTTTTTGCCAGTTGAAAACGCGAAGTTAATTTGTTTTCGTTGCTTTCATACTGCTCGTTCGTAAAAAACTCGCAATGGACATTTGGTAATGCCTGCTTAGCCCAATCAAACAATTCTTTGGGTGTCTGAATAGGGTTACTGGGTCTCTGAAGACTTGCTCGGGCAGCAAGCCTTTTTTGCGGCGGCAAAGGGACAAATTGAAATCACTGACGCGCGATTTGACATTCTAACCAAAGTGAATTACTTACAATAACTTAAGTATATTATTGCTTCATAGTTAATTATTTGATTGTAAAAATAATGAAATAAACATTTTTGCATTACAAATATTCTAAATAATAATTTGTACTCCTATCATCTACACCTTTCTTAAAAAATCTGCGTGCATACATGTACCTAAGGAAATGAAAATAATACTGACTTCAGTAACATTGTATTATAAAAAATATAGACATATTCTTTAAATAATAATCGATTACGTAAAACTGATTTAAAATCTATAAATATATCGGGAATATATATATATTATTGAGCATGTTATATACATACGCACATTACCTAGCGCGCCGGCTGACGGACGGTCCCTGCGGGAGTCCGCGCGCCGTGGAGGTGCGCGCGCCGCGGAAGAATTAATTTTTTTCTAATAGTGCCCATAAAGATACCATTCTGGAAAAATATGTTTTTTTTAGGAAATTTGACGAGGAATTCAATGGAATTTTTTTCAACTTACCAAACCTGGTTCATCAATGTCAAAATTCATTTTAAAACATTAATTTGTTATTTACACCGCTATTTTTGCAAATTCACTAATTGAAAAAATAAGCATTAGAAAGCTGACGTTTTCAGCTTCAAAATGAAAAAAAATTCGTTCCATTTTGACAAAATTTACCGGAGATATGAAGGTTTGAATGAAGCCATAAAACGCATCACGTCAAAAATTAAAATCCCGATATCTTCGAAAAAAAAAAAAAAAAAATTCCCGAGACACGGGTCCACTTTTTTCATGCCTAGAACACGTAAAAAAAGTTTCAAGCGATTTAAAAAATAGTCGTCTGAAAAGTGTTCGATTTATAATGGAATGTCTCATATATGATATAAACGTTTCGATCTTATATTAGGTCATCTTATATTTCCAAATTGTATACCGGTGCTAGTACGTTATTCTCAATATGTAATTAAGTTACTTATGATTGATAATTTATATATTATATACACATGTATATTTGGCGTTTATGCTCCTTTACTGAATAATTTTGACTTTGTTCTTATAAGCAATAAATTGTTTGTAACGCTGAAAATAAACTTGATTGCAGATTTGCGCAGATGGTGAACACAAGATTCACACAAATAATTGGATTCCAGTTTATGGCAAGTACAATGGTAACATGTTCTAATTTGTATCAGCTGACTAAGTCAACTTTGAACGCAGATCATTTTGCGCTAGTAATGTACACATGTGCCACGCTAATACAAATTTTTGTTTATTGTTGGTTTGGAAACGTAGTCAAATTAAAGGTATCTTTACAATGAAACATATTATTAAAGATTATAAATAATATATTAAACATTTTCTTCTGTAGAGTTTGCATTTAACAGACAGTATTTTTCAAATGGATTGGTCAGTTGTAGAAAATAGTGTTAAAAAAGACATCTTACTAATTATGAAGCGTGCAATGATACCTATTGAAATTTCTACTGTACATATTCTGACTATCAATTTGGATTCCTTCGTAGCGGTTAGTGTAAAAATATTTATTTTAATGCGATAATCTTAAAATAATTGATAGTAAAAAGATATCGAATAAAACTATACTATTGTTTGTTTCGTTACATTTAATTTACATAATAGAAATAATTTCTAATAAAATAAATGTAGTACTTATAAAATTTTGTAAATTTTTATATGTAAATAATCGCGCTGGCAAATAAATATAACCATTTTTATAAATTGTTTACATTGTTTTCATCATTTTAGTTGCTTAAAACATCATATTCCGTTTATAATCTATTGGTACGAGTCCAAGAATAATAAGAATATAAAAGTAGAAGAAGATTTTGAAATACAATTTCGTTTTATTAAAATAACTCAATAAATATTCATGTAATGTTATTATTTTTGGTGAAAGTTTGTTAACTATAGAATGGTATCAATTATAGGTAAAAGTTTTTCAAGAATATACGTGAGTTACAAAAAATTGAAACTAAAGAAAAGTTGCGATTATGGAATGAAAGCGAGATATGGAACAGTAATACTATTAATAATATACGATATAACTTTTGTATGTACATCTAATAACACATTTTGTTACCAAATTTAATTTAATTTATCATTTAGATGCCGCATTTAAGGCCTCCAAGTTAAATTACAAAATTAATACCAACGCAATCTTCAAAATTAAGTAACAATATACACTTGTAAAACTGTCTACATTATCTGCAAAATTGAAATACAGTTTCTATTATAATGTAATAAACACCAATGAAAAGTGGCTATACACTATCACGTTCAAGCTAACTGTGAAGAAGAAATTTTGACGGTCTTCAAATATACATCTCAAACTATACACATTATTGTGATATTCCATAATCGCCTGCTTTTCTTTATAAATAAAAAAAAGTGTAAACTTAATTTATTGTATCAATATATAATTGTAACAAAGTTACAATAAGAAAATTATTGTGAAATAATAATATTAAATGTTTATTTGTTATAAATGTAAAAAATATATGAATACGTATATTTACCACCGTTTTCGTTTTTAGTATATTTTATGTACCCCCCTCCCCCCCCCACCCAAAAGACATACAAGATACAAAACTTGTATTCGATATAAGCGTCTGATTATATCATAAATTTTTTCTGCTTTAATATAATGTAAATAGATCTTATAATACGAGTATATTTATATATTTTACCATCTGAATATGATAGAATATGAAGATAGAATATGACTTATCTTATATGATGAAGGAATTTGTAATACTTTTTTAATACAAATAGTGATATAAAAAGTATTACCGTTGTAGAAAAAGTACACAATTGTATGCATATGCATAAAACATAATATCAAAACTTGGTCGCTGTTAAGCTATTCGAATTTTTCTTTTGAACGTTTGACTATAGTCTTATAAAGTATAGCTTTAAACTGCTTTCTGATTCTATTACGTGTATATTTTAACAATCAATACTGAACAGTATATATCGTCTTCTAGAATTGAAGACAATAAATGAAATATCTGGCATACTAATACATTATATATAAGGCGATTATTCGCTTTTATGTTTTATTAATAAACTTTTAGAAATTTATTCTTTCCTCTTGAGATTGTATGACGAGTTTATTCTCCATCTAGATGTAAAAATGAAAAATAATATGTCCCTTGTATAATAAAAATTGCAAGTAGAAGTAATTCTACTAGCTATTTTACATTGGTATCGCAGTATTATTGGACTATAATATACTTATATTACATAAAGATACAGATATTAAATGTGCAGAATGAAAGAAATATCATTGCAGAAGAGAAATATTGTTACTATTGAAAACACATTTAACGGTGTACTCTTTTGAAATAATATTACCTGATGCTTCTTATCGTATAATAGAAAATCTGTCTAGTTAAATTCAAAGACGTATTGTTGTAAATACTGTTCAAAGATTTTTTTGAAAATTAGAATTCGCAACATACGTTATACATTCAAATACAATTATACATATGTATATATATATATATATTCTTTATTTTTTAATTAAACAATAATGCAGATGTTGAAATTGACACTTACAATCGCTATAATCTTTGGATGCTTTCGACCATTTTCGTGGACATCTCTGTTTAAACAGACAGTTTATAATATTTACAGATTATACATAATTAGCATGTTATATTTTTTCTCAATGTCGCAATTTATGGACATTGTTTTAAATGTTGACAATCCTTACGACTTCACTAATAATTTAAATACGCTCATGACTTCATCTGCTGCATGCTATAAGATGTTTATTGTGTGGTTAAATTATGAGAAAATTGCAGCGTTAATTAATTGTCTTACTGAAGAGCCATTCAAACCATTAAATTTGGATGAGATAAAAATTTGGCGACAATACGAAACAATAATACGGTAAATATATATCTTAATTAAATAATTTTTAACCTTTTTAATGTAATATTATTTTTTTACAGGCGTTTTTTATTTTAATATTGTATATAAATATTATTACGTATAATAAGAAAAAATCTTTTTAAAAATTATATTTAAGATTGTAAATTAATTCAAAAAATTTTAAGTTATTATAGATTTAATATATATATATATTTAGGAAAAATTTCAAGACAAATTTGAAGATAATAAATTAATTTAAAGAAATTAAATTAAATTATATTATAGTTTACTATTAAAAATAGTACTAGATATATCATTTATTTTAAAAAATAAACGCGTACAATTATTTAAAATTCGTATCAAAGCTTAGAACTTGTATATAACAATTTCGTCAATAATTTTATAGAAACAACACGTTACGTTATACAAGTTTGGTTGGAACGACATGCTCGTTTATGGTTCTCATGTCATTATTGACAGATTTTAGACACAAAAGATTAACATTTAGAGAATGGGTACCATACAATTACTCGTCTGACATAAGTTATTATTTAACATATGCTCAACAAATGATAAGTGATATCCATTGCGCTTGCGTAAATATCGCTTGTGATACTCTTCTATGTGGCTTCTTAATGCATATATGTTGTCAGATCGAGATCCTGGAATATCGCCTAAACAATATTTCAAATAATCAATTTACTTTGGGCTACTGCGTACGTCATCATAATCGAATTTTAGAGTTAGTTATCATATTACTGTCAAAAAATTATTCATCATTTAACATTGCTCTCATTAATATTTTTTAATAAAATGATGATACAAAGATTACATATTTTCCTTCGTATTTTTTAAGAATATATTATTATACACATTAATTTTTTAACTTAATTTATCATATAAATATTTCACAATTTTTCTACAATATTACGATAAGTAAAATTCATTTATAACGAAATATACATTATTATTAATATTATAGCGTCCTAAAATCTAAAATTTTATTGCAGATATGCTCAATTAGTGAATGTGAAATTTACAAAAATAATCGGATTTCAGTTTATGACAAGTACGATGGTAATTTGCAGTAATCTGTATCAACTAACCAGTTCTACTTTGAGCGCAAATCATGTTCCATTAATTATGTATACATGTTGCATGCTGACACAAATATTTATTTATTGCTGGTTTGGAAACAAAGTCAAATCCAAGGTATATTAAATAAAACAAATTACAGAAGACAATAAATAAAATATTTTACATATTATTCTACAGAGTCTTCAACTAACAAGCAGCATCTTTCAAACTGAGTGGCCAATTTTAGACAATAGTATTAAAAAGAGCCTTTTGCTAATTATGAAGCGTGTAGTAATACCCATCGAAATTTCAACTATATATGTTCTAACCATAAATTTGGATTCTTTTATGGCGGTTAGTATAAAAAATTTTATATATCGATGAAAATAAGCCATTTATATATATGGTGAAGCTGGGTATTGAATGCTTCAATTATAATTTTCGTTTGATTTTATATACTGCGTATGTAGATCCCTTTGAAATTTCACGGTCCAAATAACAATTTGTAAAAAAGTTTATCTTATTTTATGTAGTTAATATAGTTAGAACAGTTCTTTAAGGCTCCTGAATACTCAGCCAAGAACTGCGTGTTGATGGTAGCGACACCGAATTAGTCGGTGGCTAGCAAAACTGGTAGTACGCTACTGGTTATACACACAAGTGCAAGCTCATGTCCGTGTGCTCATTTTCGGGTAGAAGGGGAGCACACAGACACGGGTACATGCTTGTGTGTGTGTATAGCGCCTCGCCATGGTAAAAAGCTGAACTAATAGGCGTGGATGTTTTGACCAGTTTTGAAGACAAAATTTTTCTTGCGTGCCATTTCGTCAATATTTGCTTATTTGTGAAAATGTGACTTCCCTCGTACTCGTGAAAGTCCTAAAAAATTGGCGGAAATTGCAGTTATCGTGAAATTTTATACGTAAAAGCGTACATTTCACTCGTTTCATCAGCTATTAAACTGTGTGATTCTGCCCGAGTATAGGCTCACTTTACGTGCTTTTTACGACTATTTACTGACTATCAGAGGAGGAAAGGACAGTTTCCGCCAATTTTCACAAGTATTTTTGAGCGATCTCGCCTTTTAAATTTATCCAAATTGCCTTTATTAAAAAATGGGACGCAAGAAAAATTAATGTGTTTTTCTCGCCTACGACGTCACAATTCCAACATAGCCGTCGCCGGTACTCAGGATCCTTAAATAATTATTCAATGAATTCTTATGTTTCTAATTTCAATATATTCAAATAATAAAAATTGTTTTATTGAATAAGAAAATTTAAAAGTATTTTCATATATAATTTTATATAAATAATTTATAAACTTATTTGTGCAAAGTAATAGTTATCTAATATATTTATACATATGTACGAATATATAATCATTTTAATTATTTTTCAACATTTTAGTTGCTCAAAACATCGTATTCCGTTTATAATTTATTGGTGCGAGTGCAAGAATAATAAAAATCAGGTAACAAGCAAAATAAATGCTTTTCCTTATTTATTTGATTGAAATAATGAAAATAAGATATTACTGTTGTTAATATTTTAGTATTAAAAATAAATGTATACGTACACAGGTTTTCATATTTACATGTGCTTTTTATATATCAAAAGAAATATGACAAAATTAAAATTTTACATAATTATTTAACTAACACATATTCTGTACTTTAATATTATAAAAATAGATTATATTTATATTTTGTTACAATTTCACATAAATATGTTATCTTCAATAAAGTGTTTCATTAATTTTATTTTGTGGAAAGTAATTATGGGAATTGTATATAAAAATCATAGCAAGACAAAAAAATGATAAAAAATGCACAATGCCTGCGTATATGCATTATAGCACATAATAATATAACGTTAGAAAAGTTTAGGCCGTGTTAAGGTTGCGTTTCGTTATTCACTGAAAGTACTGAAAACCTATAGTATATACATAAATGTCATAAATTATAGATTTTCAATATTTGTAATGAATAATGGGACGCATGTGTTTTGTCTGTTCGATTATACAGATCAAGAGTCCATAATAGTGAATTTGTTACCCACTCCAACAAGTGGGGAAGTAAATAATCTTTTCTTTCATGCAAAATATTTATTAAAAATATATATATATTGTATAGGATATCTCAACAATATTACCTTTTTAAAAAAAGGAAAAAAGGGCGCCAAGTGTGCGTGTTCGCCTCACAAAAAGCCGTTACATATATTATTACAGTATACAAAAAATGAAATGAAATCTTTTTAGATTGCGTCAATAATGTGAAAGGAATATATTTTCTTGCCATATATATAACATATACTTTATTTCAAAAAGTAAAAGTACAAAAAACTTGGCGCTGCTAGACCTTTATTATTATCACAATTGACGTCAACATTTCCTACTTCAAGACGACGTAACGGCGTTCTCCAAGACGGGGTCCTATACTCCTCAGAAAAGTGCAAGAAGTCGACATACTGATGTAAATATTATTTAACAATATGCACCATATGGTGACTCCTTACATTATTCCAAGGGATATAAGGCACCGTCTTAAAGAACGTTGCGTCTTGGAATAGAAAATGTTGCCTATCGATTGCAATAACATTCAACCTTATTACAATGGACGGTGCAAATGTCAAAGAACCGCGACCGGGCTTAAATACACTGGGCAACAAAATTAACGCAACACCTGTTTCACTATATAAAAATATGCAAATTTCAAGATAGAACTTTGTCAAAAATCATCGTATCGAGATGTTTAAAAAAGCATTTTACAACTTGAAAATTCTACTTTTCAGATCGCTACTTGAAAAAGTGGTCTCACGGAGATTTTATAAAGTTACATAAACATAAATAAAGATATATCAGTTCTCAAAATTTTTTATTAAATTTGCAGAGTCCCATAAAGCAGACTAAAAATTGTACGCAAATGCAATTTACATTATTCGAAAGAGCGAATCTTTACCTTTAATTTGCCTTTTATGAAACTCCGTTCAATTTTTCTTTTACCGAGTTATTCAACGTTGAAGCAAAAATGACGCGATCGTCGTGCGATATTTGGACCGCGCACGGGTGGTGAGATAAGAGGGGCAGCGGAAGGCGGAGATGATTCAAAAATCGGTCGAAAGTCACATACACTTTATGTATGTTCACTTTAAACTGGCACCTTTATTTCAAAATATATCAGTTACTTTTCGTAGTAATATATTATTAATAGATAAAAAGGTTAAAATTTTGATTATCTTTTTTTGAACATGGCTTGAACTTTTTATTTTTATGATATGTTTTTTAAAATGTAATAAACACCAATGTAAAAAGTGGTTACACTATCACGTTCAAGCTAACTGTGAAGAAGAAATTTTAACGATCTTCAAATATACATCCCAAACTATACACATTATTGTGATATTCCAAAATCGCCTGCTTTTCTTTAAAAATAAAAAAAGTATAAACTTAATTTATTGTATAAATATATAATTGTAACAAAATTACAATAAGAAGATTATTGTGAAATAATAATATTAAATATTTATTTGTTATAATTATAATTGTAAAAATACATATATGAATACGTAAATTTACCACCGTTTTTTTTTTAAGTATATTTTATGTACCAAAACTTGTACTCGATATAAGCGTCTGACTATATCATAACTTTTTTCTACTTTAATATAATGTAAATAGATCTTATAATACGAGTATATTTATATATTTTACCATTCAAATATGATAGAATATGAAGATAGAATATGACTTATCTTATATGATGAAGGAATTTGTAATGCTTCTTTAATACAAATAGTGATATAAAAAATATTACCGTTATAAAAAAAGTACAATTGTATGCATATGCATAAAACATAATATATCAAAACTTGGTCGCTGTTAAGCTATTCGAATTTTTCTTTTGAACGTTTGACTATAGTCTTATAAGGCATAGCTTTAAACTGCTTTCTGATTCTATTACGTGTATATTATAACAATCAATACTGAACAGTGTATATCGTCTTCTAGAAATGAAGACAATAAATGAAATATCTGCAATACTAATAAATTATATATGAGGCGATTATTCGCTTTTATGTTTTATTAATAAACTTTTAGAAATTTATTCTTCCCTCTTGAGATTGTATGACGAGTTTATTCTCCATCTAGATGTAAAAATGAAATTAATATATGTCTTGTATAATAAAAATTGCAAATAGAAGTAATTCTACTAGATATTTTACATTGGTACCACAGTATTATTTGACTATATACTTATATTACATAAAGATACAGATATTAAATGTGCAGAATGAAAGAAATATCATTGCAGACGAGAAATATTGTTACCATTGAAAACACATTTAACGGTGTACTCTTTTGAAATAATATTACCTGATTCTTCTTATCGTATAATAGAAAATCTGACAAGTTAAATTCAAAGACGTATTAATACTGTTCAAAGATTTTTTGAGAATTAGAATTGGCAACATACGTTATATATTTAAATACAATTGAAGACAATAAATGATATATATTCAAACAATTATACATATATATATATATTCTTTATTTCTTAATTAAACAATAATGCACATTTTGAAATTGACACATACAATCGCTATAATCGTTGGATGCTTTCGACCATTTTCGTGGACATCTCTGTTTAAACAGACAGTTTATAATATTTACAGGTTATACGTAATTAGTATGTTATATTTTTTCTCAATGTCGCAATTTATGGACATTGTTTTAAATGTTGACAATCCTTACGACTTCACTAATAATTTAAATATGCTCATGACTTCATCTGCTGCATGCTATAAGATGTTTATTGTGTGGTTAAATTATGAGAAAATTGCAGCGTTAATTAATTGTCTTACTGAAGAGCCATTCAAACCATTAAATTTGGATGAGATAAAAATTTGGCGACAATACGAAACAATAATACGGTGAATATGTATCTTAATTAAATAATTTTTAACCTTTTTAATGTAATAATATTCTTTTACGGGCCCTTTTTATTTTAATAATATAAATATTGTATATACGTATAATAAAAAAAATCGTTTTAAAAATTATATTTAAGATTGTAAATTAATTAAAATATTCAAAGTTATTATAGATTTAATATATATTTGAGAAAAATTTCAAGGCAAATTTGAGGATAATAAGTTAATTTAAAGAAATTAAATTAAATTATATTATAGTTTACTACAATATTAAAAATAGTAGTAGATATATCATTTATTTTAAAAAATAAATGCCTACAATTATTTAAAATTCATATCAAATCTTAGAACTTGTATATAACAATTTCTTCAATAATTTTATAGAAAAAACACGTTACGTTATACAAGTTTGGTCGGATCGACATGCTCGTTCATTATTCTCATGTCGTTATTGACAGATTTTAGACACAAAAGATTAACATTTAGAGAATGGGTACCATACAATTACTCGTCTGACATAAGTTATTATTTAACGTATGCTCAACAAATGATAAGTAATTTCCATTGCGCTAGCGTAAACATCGCTTGTGATACTCTTCTATGTGGCTTCTTAATGCAAATATGTTGTCAGATCGAGATCCTGGAATATCGCCTAAACAATATTTCAAATAATCAATTTACTTTGGGCTACTGCGTACGTCATCATAATCGAATTTTAGAGTTAGTTATCATATTAATGCCAGAAAATTATTTATCATTTAACATTGCTCTTATTAATATTTTTTAATAAAATGATGACAGAAAGATTACATATTTTCCTCTGTATTTTTTAAGAATATATAAAGAAAATTAAGATAGATCTAAAATTTTATACACTAAGAAAAAAATATTTACACTTTATTATGTAATCGCTAAAAAATTGTACACATTGCAATTATTTTCCTAATGTCACAAATAAACATTAGTTTTACTACCATCTTATTAAACACATTGATTTTTTAACTTAATTTATCATATAAATATTTCATAATTTTTCTATAATATTACGATAAGTAATAATAAAATTCATTTATGACGAAATATACATTATTAACATTATTGTAGATATGCTGAATTAGTGAATTTGAAATTTACAAAAATAGTCGGATTTCAGTTTATGGCAAGTACAATGGTAATTTGCTGTAATCTGCATCAACTAACCAGTTCTACTTTGAGCGCAAATCATGTTCCATTAATTATGTATACATGTTGCATGCTGACACAAATATTTATTTATTGCTGGTTTGGAAACAAAGTCAAATCCAAGGTATATTAAATAAAACAAATTACAGAAGACAATAAATAAAATATTTTACATATTATTCTACAGAGTCTTCAACTAACAAGCAGCATCTTTCAAACTGAGTGGCCAATTTTAGACAATAGTATTAAAAAGAGCCTTTTGCTAATTATGAAGCGTGTAATAATACCCATCGAAATTTCTACTATATATGTTCTAACCATAAATTTGGATTCTTTTATGGCGGTTAGTATAAAAAGTTTTATATATCGATGAAAATAAGCCATTTATATGGTGAAGCTGGATATTGAATGCTTCTATTATAATTTTCGTGTGAATTTATATACTACGTATGTAGATCCCTAAATGCGCGCCGAAATTTTTTCAGACTTACAACGCAAACTATTGAACTACAGCAGTACTATCACGAGTTAAATTAACAATTTTTGATGCTCATTGCATCTTGGATCTTAATAATACGTTGAATGACATATTAAAGTCTATGAATGACATACTAAAGATCTGTAAATAATTAAAATATATTACGAAAAATATTACCTCGGCCGGGAGTCGAACCCGGATCGCTTACGCGCAAATGTCCATGCCAATTAGACTGCCGAAACCTTCGTTTGCGTTGTAAGTTTGAAAAAATTTCGGCGCACATTTAGGAATCTACATATGTAGTATATAAACTCACACGAAAATTACAATATTATAGAAGCATTCAATATTCAGCTTGACCGTAAATAGCTTGTTCTCATCGATGTTTAAAATTTCACGGTCCAAATAACAATTTGTAAAAAAATTTATCTTATTTTATGTAATTAATATAGTTAAAACAGTTCTTTAAATAATTATTCAATGAATTCTTATGTTTCTAGTTCCAATATATTCAAATAATAAAAATTGTTTTGTTGAATAAGAAAATAATAGTATTTTCATATATAATTTTATATTATATAAATAATTTATAAACTTGTTTGTGTGTGTGTTGTGTGTGTGTGTGCGTGCGTGCGTGCGTGTGTGTGTGTGTGAAAAATAATAATTGTCTAATATATTTATTCATGTGTACGAATATATAGTTATTTTAATTATTTTTCTACATTTTAGTTGCTCAAAACATCGTATTCTGTTTATAATTTATTGGTGCGAGTGCAAGAATAATAAAAATCAGGTAACAAGCAAAATAAATGCTTTTCCTTATTTTATTGAAATAATGAAAATAAGATATTACTGTTGTTAATGTTTTAGTATTAAAAATAAATGTATACATACACAGCTTTTCATATTTATATGTGCTTTATATATATCAAAAAAAATATGAAAAAAATTAAAATTTTACTTAATTATTTAACTAACACATATTCTGTACTTTAAAATATTATAAAAATAGATTATATTTATATTTTGTTATAATTTCACATAAATGTATTATCTTCAATAAAGTGTTTCATTTATTTTATTTTGCGGAAAGTAATTATGGAAATTATACATTAAAATCATAGCATGACAAAAAAACGATAAAAAATGCGCAACGCCTGCGTATATGCATTATAACACATAATAATATAACGTTAGAAAAACTTAGGCCGTTTTTTCAGTGTACATTGGCTTCTTGGTCTAATAGTATTACAAGCGTATACCTTTAAAGAATGTGATATGATTGTTATTTCGATTACATCAAATGTAAGATTTAATGTTCGAATGTCGCGATTCTTTTCAAATAATAGAAGATAATGTAATGAAATGTTGTACAGTGCGTGTACACAATGGGTGATGTGTATACACTAAAGTATATATTGGTCTATATTTTATTAATAGATTCGATCTATATTTTATTAATGAGTTATTGAGGAACTTTTCTCATTATTCTGTTGTGTAATTTTTTGTATTTCGATGTAGCGATAAGAAACATTTTCTATATAATGAAAATTAAACGTAAAAATAATTTTTGAATGTAAAACTAATTTATTTAATTCTATTGCAGAAACAATACATTAGAGACGTTTATTGTAAGTTATGGGTATTAAATATGCACAAGTATGAATATTATCCATTTATTAGCTTAAGTGCAAGAATAATAAAGGATAAGTAAAGTATTTTAAAGAGTTATATACAATACAATATTATAATATTATTATAAAACAATTGTAATAAAACAATTGTTATATAAATTTCAATATTCACAATATTTATTAACAGTAGCTGAAAATACATGTATATGACATTATATCTTTTATATTTTGAAACTATTTTTATATATATTAGAAAAACTATATATGTATATGTTGCAAAATTTAAATTAAATATTAATTTTTAATTTGTAGATAATATCAAATTCTTTCTACTTTTAATATATACAAATTTTATATATTATTATTTATATATTATTATTAAAGATAAATATGTAATATCTCGTATTACGTCTCATGGATTTTACTTCAATTTTTTCATTTAAAATGATTAAACATATAATATAACAAAAAATATTGCGCTATTAAAAGAAAAATATCGGAATTGCATAATCGTAGGTAAACGTAATATCAGAAACATTTAATTATTATTTCTAAATTCTTCTTTTTATCTATTTAACTACAGTTATATAAACGTACCTTTAACATGGACTCCTTAATTCGCCTGGATATGTTACGCATAGTAATCAATACTAGAATATCTCAATTCTCTCTACGAAGAATAGAAGATAATATAATAAAACCAGGACACACGACAGTATCTCGACACTAAGACAAATACAGCGATATCATAGTGCAGGACATATATGTTATACGGCGATGAGAAATATATATTAAGATGTCTAGTATATCAGAGGCTCCATCTTATATTTTATTGACAAATCATTAAAGTAATTTTTTTTTCTTTGTTGTGTTAGTTTCCATTTCTTTGTTGTGTTAGCTTCTATCTCAATGTATCAATAAAAAGCATCCGCTATATAATAAAAATTACGTGTACAAATAATGTATTGCATGTAACAGTAGTTCATCCAATTTTTTTTTCGTAGAAATATCGCATTGAAGGCAATTATTGCAAAATGTAGATATTAAATATACAGAAGTAGGAAATATCAATGGAAAATATTACAAGAGAAATAGCGTCATAAGTCTATAGACAGTTTACAGAACCCCACTGAAATTGTGTTATCTCGTTTTACATCTTATACAATAGAGATTCTAGAGAAGTTAAAGTTATCTTGAAAACAATGAATATTGACCCAAGATTTCCATTGAACTAATAATACATTAAATAACTGAACCTTACTATACGTATCTTTTTTGTTTCATTCTTCTTTCTCACAATACAATTAGACGTGACATAATGCAAGTTTTAAAATTGACGTATACAATCGTTACAATCGCGGGATGTCTTCGACCGCGAACATGGACATCTTTATTTAAACGAACACTATATAATATATACAGTATACAAGTGATTGGAGTTTTATATGTATTTTCATTGTTGCAATTTATGGATATTATCTTCAATGCCGATGATGCTGATGCATTCACAAACACCCTAAATCTAATGTTGACCACGTCTGCTTCATGTTATAAAATGATTATTATGTGTTTAAATTATGATGACATTATAACATTAATTGACGATCTTACTGAAGAGCCGTTTAAACCTTTAGATCCAGATGAGATGAAAATTCGACAACAATATGACAAGATGATACGGTAATATTGTCTTTTAATTGAGAGTAATTTTCATTGTTTCTTTTTCTGCTAAATGTTTCTTTAATAACATATTTTATAGACATGTAAGTGTATAATTAAAAATGTATTGAAAAGAAATTAAATTTTATTCTATTTATTTTTATTCAGCAGGATTATTTAAAGAATTGCAAATAAAAAATTTTAATTAATGTAATAATAAATTATTATACTTTTTTTAATCTACACTAAAATAAAATTCAATTAACAATGCGACAGTATTATGAAAAAATAACATATTATCTGTTATACAAAGAATAAACATATTTCAGTATTTTACTTTACAGTTTACATTAACCCGTAACGGTCACACCGGGTCCTTTGGACCCAAATTAAAGTATTATACTTTGAGAGTACAATGCCGCTGGGTTTTTTTTTTTAACACAAAAATTATATTTTTTATGAATTTTTATGTCAAATTTTGTCAAAAAAGGTCAAATCTTTTGCCAAGCATTTTTTACTATTAAAAAAAAATTTACCTACAATACTCATTGGATTACATAAAACAGACCTTAAACTAACTTCAGTTAAAATTTTAAGTCATTATGTCAAGTAGAAGCCAAATGACAACCAAATTTCTGCCATGGGTCCAAAGGACCCAGTATGACCGTTATGTTATTATTTCGAGATGTGACCTTTACGGGTTAAAATAATATGAATATAATATGGATATAATAAAATCCTTAATCACTTTCTAGGAACAACACGTTAGGCTACACAGTCTTAGTCGTGGGATCATTTTGTTTTACCAGCCTTTTAACTTCATTGTTCACTCACGTTAGACATAAACGGCTAAAGTACAGAGAATGGCTACCATACGATTATTCATCTAATATATTAATATATGGTCTTACATACATTCAACAAATGTTAGGTGGATATTATTGTGTTATTGTAAATGTTGCAATAGATACTCTCATGTGCGGATTTTTAATGCATATATGTTGTCAAATTGAGATCTTGGAAAATCGCTTGAAGAAAATTTTGAGCAAACAAATTACTCTGGGTTACTGCATACGTCATCATAATCAAATTTTCGAGTTAGTTATCATTTTAATATTAAAAAAGTAAATTTTATTAAGGATTACTGTTGTGCGCGCGCGCGCGCGCACACTCACACACACACACACACACACACACACACATTTCTTGTGATTTAGATATAGTATACCTATCCTCATGCTACTAAAGGTGCTTACTAAAAGATTGTTGAATTTTTGTAAGAAATTTTTTAGTTGTTATTTACACAAAAAAAATTTATTTTAAAATTACCTAAAATATGTAATGAATATTTATTTTTATTACGCATTATTTTAAAATATCAGAAGTTCATCGTACACGTTCAACATAATTTATTTAGCAAAACAGTGATGGAAGTCATGTAATTTCTTTATTCTATGTTTCTATTATTTAAAAAAAAATAAAAAATTCTATATGTCGGAATGATTAGAAAAATATTAAAAATTTTTTAATGTATGTTTTATACATTTAAATGTATCTAATATTGTTTATTATATTGACTTCCTTCGTCATATTATTGTAGATATCTATATTTTCAAGTACTTTATTACAACGTTAATGAGTTACTCTATTAATATATCTTAAATTTAAAATAATTTTTTATATATAATTATAAGAAGATTAATTCATCATTTATAAGAGGGATTTGTTTAACAGGTACAGCTTTCTATTAGCAAAATTTTGATTACAGATTCGCAGAGACAGTAAATGTAAAATTTACGAAAATAATCGGATTTCAGTTTTTATCAAGTACGATGATAATGTGTTCAAATTTGTATCAAGTGGCTAAAGCAACTTTGAATTCGGATCATATTTCATTAATTATGTTCACATGTTGTATGTTAACAGAGATATTCATTTATTGTTGGTTTGGAAACCAAGTTAAATTAAAGGTATATCTAATAAAATCGGATATTAGAAACGTGTAAGTATAATACTTTATATATATATTGTTTTTTGCAGAGTCTACAATTGACAGACAGTATTTTTCAAATGAATTGGCCAATCTTGGATAATAATGTCAAAAAAAGTTTATTGTTAATTATGAAACGTGCAATGACACCCATTGAAATTTCTACAGTATATATTTTAACGATGAATTTGGATTCTTTCGTAATGGTCGGTATAAAATTTGTGGGAAATATTTTCAAAAAGTCAGCACCTTTAAAAACCAATGATCTTGACTTATTTATCAAGGTAATGATTTTGAATAACCTTCAACAGGTTTCAGCTGCCACTCGTTAATCATTAAAAAATTTATTAAAAATTATTAATAAAATTATTAACAAAAAGCTTCTGCTGTATAAAAAATTCTGTTTTAAAATAACTTTTCTGTTTTAAAAACAAAAATTTTCTTCGAAAACATTATTTTCTTATATAATTTTTGTTTCTATAAAGCAGAGAATTTTTAATTTTTTAATTTTGTATCAACTCTCTGCGCGAAACAAGGCCCATCCTACCTTGCGCTTTATCTAGGGAGCACGACTTTTTGTAAGAAAGGAAATCTACCTACCTCCCTTCTATCTAGAGGCGCACGACTTTCCACGCAAAGGGGTGAAGGTAGGATAAACTTTGCTTTGCATGGAAAGTCGTGTACCCCTAAACAGGGGGAATAGTGAAGTGGACTTGGCTTCGCGCGTGGAAAGTTATCACGTAAGCAGGGAAGAGTGAGATATACTCCTGAATATTGTATACATATAGTAGAAATAAGGCTATTTTTTAATTCTTTTTGTTAATAACTTTCTAGTGAATAATGAGCAATGGTTAAAACCTGTTAAGCCAGCGGCACAATGTTGTTTTTAGGAAAAAAAAAAAACACCGTATGTCGCTGGCTTTAGAGATTAGTCTAGGTCATTGAATTTTGGAGGTGCTGACTCTAATTGTAAATATTTAAAAATAAATACTAATAAACAAAGCTGTTGATATCAAAACAATAAAAGGGATAAAGTAAAGGGCAATTCGAGAGTCATCGATAAATAGAAATAAGAAGTTATTACACATAAAAAATTAGAAATATAATTAAGACAAATTCAAACTGCATACATATGTAACTTTTCATATGTAATATTTTCTTATTTCTATTTATCGATAACTCGAATTGCCCTTTATTTTATCCTTTTTATTCCAAAAATATTTACATAAATATTGGCAAAAATGTAAAAGTAATAAAAACAGAAAAATAAGTAGAGTATTTAATTTAGATTAGTTGCACATAATCATTAAAATAAAATTGTTATAAAATGTTTATTGTCAATAATTATTTTGATGTTTACTCTGTTTATCAGTAATAGTTGTAAAATATACGTACGTACATATATATGACATTATCTTTTATATTTTAAAAATATTTTTATATAATTAGTGAAAAGTATACATAGGTATATAAATTTTATTGTTAAAAGATTTAAATTTGGTATCACTAACTTTCTTTATTTAATTTTATATTTACATATTATAATAATCGGATTTATAATATAAAAGTTCACATGAACATATCATAAATTTTACATTAATATCTTTTTACGGAGTAATTAGAAATTATTATCATAAAAAATCATATAGCGCCGTTAAAAGAAAAAATATAAATTGCATGATCACAGAATAACAATGTAATAAAAACATAATGTCAGAAAAATTTAATTATTATATTAAATTCTTTTATTTTGTTTGATAAGTGTCTTACAAATACGTATCTGTAACGTGAACTCCTTCGCTTGATAATTTTATCCGTAAGAATCAATATTAGAATGTCACGATTCTCTTCGAAAGATAGAAAATAATTTAATGAAATATGTTGTACAGCAACATAAAAGATATATCAAGATATTGTCAAGGTTCGCATTTCATATTCTATTGATAAATGAAAAATTATTTTCTTTCATTTGCTACGATATAATTTTGTTTTTAATGTAGCATTAAAAATAATACGTCTATATATGACAGAATTTATATAGAAATAATTATCCAATTATCTTAAAATACGGAAATATTACATTTAAGACAATTTGATATTGTGGAGGTACAGGTATTAAATATGTACAAGTAGGAAATATCGACGATGAAAAATTTCGCTATTGTAGTGTCATAAGTCTATAGACATTCTATAGTATACTCTTCTGAACTATGTATTTCTGCACTTTATTTTTCATACGATTAGAGATTCTATCAAGTTGAGCAATGATCTCGAGAGCAATGAATATTATACGCGAAGATTTTGATAATTATTAACAAAGTTAATGACACGCGTTATATAACTGATTTCTATTATACGAACCTCTTTCGCTTTTTTCTTTCGTTACGCAATTAAACTTCTTGTACAATGCATATTCTGAAATTGACATATACAACTATTATAATATCTGGATGTTTTCGGCCGCAGTCGTGGACATCTTTATTTAAAAAGATAGTTTATAATATCTACAGATTGTATATAATTGCTATGTTATACACATTTACAATATTGCAAATTATGGACATTATTTTATACGTCGATAATGCTGATGATTTCACAAATAATCTAAATATGATGTTAACTACATTAGCGTCATGCTATAAAATATTTATTATGAGTACAAATTATGAGAATTTTGTAACGTTAATTAATTATCTTTCTGAAGAGCCATTCAAACCACTAGATTCGGATGAAATGAAAATACGACAGCAATATGACAGGACAATACGGTAAATGTTTTATAATTAAATATTCTTTAATCTCTTTAATTCAATTGTTTCCTTCTAAATATTATTTTATTTGTAACTATTTTCGTTATTATTTTATAATACTTTTATACCCTACACATGAATATATATAAGCAATTTAAATATATTTGAGATGTAATTTAATTCAAAAAGTTATTTGTTGTTAATTAAAATTATTAAAAATTTGCATACAAAAATTTATGAATTATTTAATTATATTTTAATTATATAAAACATTTTTCAACAATACAAAAAATTAATTAACAATATTACTGTCAAATAACAATATATTGTCTGTTACAAAAAAAATAAACATAAAGATTTTTCAAATATTTCATGATTCAAATATTTTATAGTTTGTGTCAGAAATAATGTCGTTATAATTATTTAATCACTTTTTAGGAACAACACGTTACGATACATAATATTGGTAGCGACAACATGTACATTTGTCATTTCGTCTTCGTTGTTTACTGATTTTAGGCATAAAAAACTAAAATATAGGGAATGGATACCATTTGACTATTCATCTTATATAGTATTTTGTTTTGCATACGCTCAACAAATGTTAAGCGCATGTCACGCCGCTGTTGTAAATGTCGCAATAGATAGCCTCATGTGCGGGTTTTTGATGCACATATGTTGTCAAATTGAGATCTTGGAATATCGCCTGAAAAAATTTTTGGACAACCAACTTATTCTGGGTTATTGCATATGTCATCACAATCGAATTTTTGAGTTAGTTATCATTTTAATGGCGGAAAATTATATATCATTCAGCATTGCTACTATGTGTGAGTTATTTAACAAAACTGTGGTGGAAATCATGTATCTTTCTATTTTTCATTTTTATTATTGATTATAAAGAAAAATTAAAAAATTACAAATTATTTTGGAATGTGCATTGCAAAATCATCAAAACATATTTTATTATTATATCGTTTAATATCCATATTGTTTTAAATATAATTGTAAAATGTAATTACTTATTGTTGATTTCTATCACGTTTTTATCACGATATTTGATATAGACATTTTTGTTAGTGTTTATTAATACTTTAATCTATTAATTAGACCTCATATATGTCATAAATTAATTCGTAAATCCTTGTATTCAAATAATAATTATTGAAATAATATTGATTTAGACTTTATATATATGTATATATATGTATTTATATATGTATGTATCCTTTTTATAAGACATCTTTAGACTCTTTAAACTTTTATTTACTTGAAATATGATAACTTTATATAAATAAAATCTTGATTGCAGGTTTGCACAAATAGTGAATATAAAATTTACCAAAATCATCGGATTTCAATTTATAGCAAGTATGATGATATTATGCTCAAATTTGTATCAACTGACTAAGTCAGCTTTAAATGCAGATCATTTTCCGTTAATTGTATACACAAGTTGTATGTTAACGCAGATATTTATTTACTGCTGGTTTGGAAATAAAGTCAAATCAAAGGTATACCTCAAACAAGATGTTAAAAACAATAAATATATAATAATATTTTACATATTATGTTCCACAGAGTCTTCAATTAATAGATAGTATTTTTCAAATGGAGTGGCCAATCATGGATAATAATGTAAAGAAGAGCTTACTAATAATTATGAAACGTGCAATGATACCTATTGAAATTTCTACTGTATATATCTTGACCATGAATCTGGATTCTTTTGTAACGGTCAGTATAAATATATATCTCAATGCATAAAATTTTAATATAATTTGCTTAAATAATTACTAAGTATCTAAAAGTTTCATTATTGATTTGTATATAAATATTATTATATATATATTCGTAGTAACCTTAAGTGTTTTCTATTATTTCAGTTGCTTAAAACGTCGTATTCTGTTTATAATTTATTAACGCAAGTGCAAGAATAATAAAAATAAAAATATAAAGAAAATAAAACGTTTAGATAAAGTTGCACATAATAATTATAAATATGTTGTAATAAGGTTGTAATAATTTTAATGCTTATTCCATTCATTAGGAATATTAATAAAAAATACATATTTAATGTACATGTATACGGCATCGTCTTTTATATCTGTTTTGGAAGTATTTTATACGTATACTCGGTATAGTCAATACAAAAGTAACAAAAAGTCAATATAAATGTGTCATAAAATTTAAATTTAATACCGCAAAAATTTGTGTACTTCTGTATACGTACTTTAATATATTTATATATTATCATAATGTCGAGTTGGCGAAGTTGTACCCCACGGTTAAATCGTTACCTCCATTTTATTTTTTAAACCAAACATTTTTTTTTTTAAATAATGATACTGATATGACGCTGGTAATATGGGTTAAAAACTATCATTTTTGTTTTGTCTTCGAGTCGCCTGTTTAGGAGTGACATATGATTTTGTTCGATGTCTGTTCTAAGTTTTGGTACAATTTACCTAAGGTGTTATCAGTACAAGGTGAGTATAATTGAATTATAGTGTCCTTCAGGGTTATAATTGCATGATATTTGTCTAGAATAGTAATAATAACGTCATTTTTCAGGCGACGTATATTTTAACAAATAATAGAATCTTATTTTACAGATATTGCGAAGAATATTATTACGTCGACTCGCCATCAGAGGTCTATTCAATTGATATTCGTTAAATTTCTCGCAAGTGCTAAGATACACGTATGTCTCTTTATATAGAGTCTCGATTTAATAACTTACACCGGCGTCTAAGGTAGGCTCCCACTACATTACCTTACTGATGAGTCCAGTAGTGGAAGCCGGGACGAAACGCCAACTTGTGATATTCTTCGCAATCTTATTTTTCACAGATTTCAATTATCATTACTTTAATATTGAATTTTAATATATGTCTTTCAACATATTATTAAGATCTAATAAGATGCTATAAGCATCGAAATTTGTTAGATTGTATTGTCAATCTAACTAAAGTGATATTACCGCGGTAGTTATTTAGAGTTGCGTTGTAAGTCTGAAAAAATGTTCGGCACGCGATTGAGAGAACTACATACGCGATATATAAATTCACACATAATGATAATAAGCATCTTGATCTAGCTTTGACCGATAGGCTGCGCTTTGTGCTTCCTTCTTTCTTGTTATTTATGGATTTTTGCATAAAATATATTATTATAATAAAGCAAATATTACAAATCGATATTGTGCATCACTCAGATCAGTGAGCTCTATATAATATACATATTGTAGAACGATCTATAATAGTCTTACAAACGTGTATCTGTAACGTGAACCCGTTCGCATGATTATTTTATCCGTAGAAATCAATACTAGGATATCATAATTCTCTTCGAAAAATAGGAAGTAATGTAATGTGTTGTACAGCGACATAAAAGATATGTATATCAAGATAAATATTATCAAGATTCGCATCTCATATTCTATTGATGAATCTTTGAAGAATTTTTTTCTTTCTTTTACTACGTTAAAATTTTTAATGTAGTATTAAGAATATTACTTCTATACTTATATGAAAGTACTTATGTAGAAATTTTCCACTTATCTTAAAATACGGAAATATTACATTTAAGACAATTTGATATTGTGGAGGTATTAAATATGTACAAGTAGGAAATATCGACGATGAAAAATTTCACTATTGTAGTGTCATAAGTCTATAGACATTCTACAGTGTACTCTTCTGAACTATGTTATCTCTATACCTTATTTCTCATACAATAAAAGTTCTATCAAGTTAAAATGCTCTCAAGAGCAATGAATATTCTACGAAGATTTTCATAATTATTAACAAAATTAATGACACGCGTTATATAACTGATTTTTGTTACACGTACTCTTTTGCTTTTTCCTTTCGTTACGTAATTAAACTTCTGCTCGTACAATGCGTGTTCTGAAATTGACATATACAGCCGTTATAATATCTGGATGTTTTCGACCGCAATCGTGGACATCTTTATTTAAAAAGATAGTTTATAATATCTACAGATTGTATGTAATTGCTATGTTATATACATTTGCAATATTGCAAATTATGGACATTATTTTATACGTCAACAATGCTGATGATTTCACAAACAATCTGAATATGATGTTAACTACATCAGCTTCATGCTACAAAATATTTATTATGAGTTCAAATTATGAGAATTTTGTAACGTTAATTAATTATCTTTCTGAAGAGCCATTCAAACCACTAGATTCGGATGAAATGAAAATTCGACTACAATATGATAGAATAATATGGTAAAAGTTTTATAAATAACATAACTACTACAAATACGAAGCCTATAACATTTAGCTTGGATCTTTTAATCGCTTACATATATAAACTACCACAGTACTATCACGAATTAAATTAAATAATTAACTAAAAATTAAATTAAATAATTAACTAATATACGTAATCCCCCCAAATTGCGCGCCGAACAATCGAACGGTCTTGAAACGCAACTCTAATAATCTGAAAATACTAAATCTATTTTTTATAATTAAATATTCTTTAATCTGTTTAATTTAATCGTTTCCATTTAAATATTATTTTATTTGTAACTATTTTAGTTATTATTTTATAATATTTTATACCCCACGCATGAATATATATAATTATTTTGAATGTCATATTTGAGATGTAATTTGATTCAAAACGTTATTTGTTAACTAGAATTATTTAAAATCTGCATACAAAAATTCATGAATTATTTAATTATATTTAACTATATAAAACATTTCTCCACAATAAAAAAAATTAATTAGCAATATATTACTGTCAAATAATAATGTTGTTACAAAAAATAAACATAAAAATAACGAAAAAGAAAAAAGGCTACGAGCCAAAAATTCGTTAAAATATAAAATTGTTGGTAAATAAAAATTGTTAAAATTACATAGTTTAATTAATAATCAAAAACAATGAAAGAGCGACGTGAGAGTTAAATTAAGATTAAAATTGTAGAAATGTTGACATATTTAATTTTTAACTACGAATACATAATTATTAAAAAATAAGATTACAAAAAAATATATATCTGCTTAAAATTTACTTAAAAAAATGATGTAGAAATGATGTGACCAGTTTCTACTCTGAATAGAATCCTCCTCAGACTTACAAATATGTTTGATGGATAGAATTATTAGCGAAATATATATAATTGTATATATAACTCTTTCTGTAAACATTAATAAAAAAGTTTTATATATAATGATATAAATATAGTTAAAAGTATAACGAAGATTTATTTACAATAGTCAATAAATTTAAAATTAATAAAACGTTCCGGTTTATGTAATGATTGTTGTGTAATAATGTTTACAGAAAGAGTTATATATACAATGATATATATTTCGCTAATAATTCTATCCATCAAACATATTTGTAAGTCTGAGGAGGATTCTATTCAGAGTAGAAACTGGTCACATCATCTCTACATCATTTTTTTAAGTAAATTTTAAGCAGATATATATTGTTTTGTAATCTTATTTTTTAATAATTATGTATTCGTAGTTAAAAATTAAATATGTCAACATTTCTACAATTTTAATCTTAATTTGACTCTCACGTAGCCCTTTTATTGTTTTTGATTATTGTTTATATAGAGTCCTTGTTATTTTTCAATTTAATAGTTTAATTAGACAACAGACGTTTCGACCTCTATTAAGTCATTATCAATGTTACAGAAATAATAATCGCAAATTGTTAAAACAAAACGGTTATGTATGGAATTATAAAATTAAAAAAATATATAAATTAATATACATATATATAATAAGTGTATACTCTCACTCGCATGGTTGACATTATATTAATTTCGGTACAAGCTATAGTCCATAAACCTTAATCTAGTTATAGTGAATAGTCTAGTTATAGTGTGTAATTAGTTTCTTATAATATTGTATCAAAGTACACACACACACAGTTTATGAAATGGTTCATTATATTAGACAATGCGATGAGAGCCAAATTTTAATTGTTACTCTTAGAAGTTTAAAAATGATATAATTATTAAATTTATTATTTTTAAACTTCTAAGAGTAACAACTAAAATTTTGCTCTCATCGCATTGTCTAATAATGGACCATTTCATAAATTGTGTACTTTGATACAATATTATAAGTAGAGCCCGGATTTTCCACCGACGGACGTACCAATTCGACTCGTAGCACGTTCCTATCCCTTATACTACCACTCGTCAGGCTCGAAGACGTTGCGTGAAGTATCGATAGGAGGGAACGCGGCGGTGGGACAATTAACAACAAGACAATAAAAGCATCTTCTCCAAGGTCTTGCAAAAACAAAATTCTTTCAAACAGGACTTAAAATTTTTCAAGTACGCGCCTATTACTTCTTGCGACGTAGAACACAGCTTTTTTCAATATAAGAATATATTGAGCGAAAAACGAAGAGGCTTCAATTACAACAATTTAAAAATGTACTTTCGATGCTTCACGCAATGGCTTCGGGCATGACGAGTGGTAGTGGAGATAAGAACGTGCTACGATCGACTCGAATTTGTACGTCCGTCGGCGGAAAATCCGGACTCTACTTATCATAAACATAAAGTTTTTTCAAATATTTCATGGCTCATATATTTTATAGTTTGTGTTAGAAATAATATCGTTATAATTATTTAATCACTTTTTAGGAACAATACGTTACGATACATAATATTGATAACGACAGGATGTATATGTGTCATTTCACCTTCGTTATTTACTGATATTAGATATAAAAAATTAAGATATAGGGAATGGGTACCATTTGACTATTCATCTTATATAGTATTTTGTTTTACATACGCTCAACAAGTATTAAGCTCATGTCACGCCGCTGTTGTACATGTCGCAATAGATAGCCTCATGTGCGGGTTTTTGATGCACATATGTTGTCAAATTGAGATCTTGGAATATCGCCTGAAAAAATTTTTGGACAACCAACTTATTCTGGGTTATTGCATACTCCATCATAATCGAATTTTTGAGTTAGTTATCATTTTAATGACGAAAAATTATATATCATTCAGCATTGCTACTATGTGTGAGTTATTTAACAAAACTGTGGTGGAAATCATGTATCTTATATTCTATTTTTATTATTGATTATGAAGAAAAATAAAAAAAGTCCATACTATTTTGGACTGCATTGCATCGTCAAAACCTATTTTATTATTTATACTGTTTAATATTCATATTGTTTTATATGTATATAATTGTATAGTCACTTTAGGATAAAAAAAGGGCGTTTAAACATAAAAGTCCGACCTAGATGAAAATTGCTGAACATCTTTATTTAAGCGAGAGAAATGATGTCTGAAAACATTTCAACGTTAGCTTGTACGCTAAGTTTTTTATCATAGAAGGGTTGAAATTTCGATTTTTCGCGATTATTTTCTTTCCTATCAATTTTACGGCCAAAGTAGGTCCATAATAAAAGAAAGATAATAAAATTCTCTACAAAATTCTCTACTGGTCATACGAGGTACGACCTAAATAAAGATGTTTAGCAATTTCCAGCAGGTTCGGAATTTTTGTGTTTTAAAAATCCTAAAGTGTGTGTGTGTGACTGGACTATTGTTGACTATTGTTGACTTCTACCACGCTTTTATCACGATATTTGGTATAGATATTTTTATTAGTGCTTTAATAATATTTCAATCTGTTAATTAATCACTTATGTCATGAATTATTTCATAAGTCTTTGTATTCCAATCATAATTATGGCAATAATATTGAGATTTAGATTCTTTATATCTTTTAAATCTTTAGATCCTTTAAACTCTTAATTGTTTGAAATATACAAATATGATGACTTAATAAATGTAAAATCTTAATTACAGATTTGCACACATAGTGAATATAAGATTTACCAAATTAATTGGATTTCAATTTCTAACAAGTATGATGACATTATGCTCAAATTTGTACCAACTGACTAAATCAACTTCAAATTCGAATATTTCATTAATTGTATACACAATCGTTATATTAACACAGATATTTATTTATTGCTGGTTTGGAAACGAAGTGAAATTAAAGGTATTCCTCAAACAGGCTATATTAGAAACAATAAATATATAATAATATTTTAAAATATATTTGTGATAAGGCTCAATAAATTTAAAATAATGAAACAGATAAGGACTACGAGCCAAAAATGTCGTTATAATATACAATTGTTAGTAAATAGAAATTGTTATTTAATTAAAATTATGTAGTTTAATTAGAAACGTTTCGACCTCTATTAGGTCATTATCAATGTTACAGAATGATCGCAAGTTGTTAACAAAGGATGATGTACGAAATTATAAAGTTATAAAATTATCTACATAAGAACTTTGGAATCACTTTTAACTTTATCTAAAATTTTGCAAAAAAATAATTGTATACACTCATTAATAAATATATATAATTAATTTTTCACGCAATGTTCTACAGAGTCTTCAATTAATAGATAGTATTTTTCAAATGGAGTGGCCAATCATGGATAATAATGTAAAGAAGAGCTTATTAATAATTATGAAACGTGCAATGACACCTATTGAAATTTCTACTGTATATATCCTGATCATGAATTTGGATTCTTTTGTAACGGTCAGTATAAACATTTATCTCAATGTATAAAATTTGAATATAATTTGTTTAAATAATTTCAAAGTACCTAAAAGTTTCATTGTTGGTTAATAATGCACTTAAAATCAAAGAATAAATCACTCTTATAAATTTGCTTATATGAATTTTATTATTGATTTATATAAAAATATTATTATATTTGTAATAATCTTAAGTATTTTTTATTATTTCAGTTGCTTAAAATGTCATATTCTGTTTATAATTTATTAACGCATATAGAAAAATAAAAATAATAAAAATAAAAAATAGACAACTTAAAGCGAGCTTTAGTTGCACATAATAATTATAAATTTATTGTAATAAGATTGTAATAATTCTAATACTCATTGTATTCGTTAAGATAGCAATAAAAAAAATATATATATGTATATGTATACAACATTGTCTTTTATATTATACAATCAGATGCAAAAAAAGCGATACACTATAAATTTTGGAAAAATTTACCAAATTCAAATCATCATAAATTGGTAAATAATGAAGATAAAAATATGTTTAAAAAACAAAATAAAACTTGAAATGTCCACTTCAGGTTATTTGTAAGATTATATGCAGTGAATGTTCAGATACTTGTAATTCTCAAAAAGGATTATATTATACGTTACATTTACTACATAAAACTAGCGTAAATGATAATAATCTGTAACAAATCATGACTTTGTATATCCTTTTTTATATTTAAAATCAAAAATATCAAAAGTTGATCTGAAAGAGTGCACGATATCGCAATATCATAGTTAGAACGTAGATACTATGACTGGAAATGGGATGGTAATAGCTTGTAACTGAGTCTACGGATGGCATTAATGTTTCATGCAGGTAAGCTATAGTCGTTGCTTAACTAATATTTGAAGACTTTATATTTTTATATATTTCCATTGTATCATAAAATAATATTGTGACATTATACCGATGATAGAGGTACAGAACATATTTTACAATATAGAAGATACAACAAAGGAAAAACTACATCAACTACCTCGGAGACAGTTTATGACTATTGATGATAATTTAAAGAATGTATTTTTTTATATATCTGACTATATATATCTAACTTCTTTTATATGGATTGTCCGCGATTGTCTCTGCAAAGATAATGGTACATTACACAATTTCATAATAAAGGTATTATTTTGGAAGAATGTCACTTCTCTCAATTCTCGGAAATATTATTTCACGAGAGGACTGTTGCAAGTCTGTTATTATAATAATAACATAGATAAACTTTATATGACGAAGAAAGTTAGACGAAATGTTATTATCGAATTGAGAAGCAGTAGACATAAGATTGTAACATCATTTGATTTGTCTCACAACATACAGTGAATATAAGATTAAAACTTGTCAAGTATTCAATAAACTGTACAAACAAATCAATCAAAATTTTTGTAAGTTTAATGTATAAAAAGTATTATGTAATATTATTATAATAATATTATATATATCATTGTACTCCAATTATTATATTAGATACAGTAATTCCATTGTAATAATATAATAAAACTTCGATTTATTTCTATTATTTTTGTTAAATTATTATATATATTTCTAATTATTAACATACATAAAAACACCTAATTAGCGATTACTTAGAGAAATACACGATGAAATATCTTTTAATGTAATATTGTAAATATTATATGTTTACATGTAATATGCGAAAAAACAATCACGATTATTAATTAACCTTTATTAATACATTATTATAATAACAAAATTAGTAATAAATAAATGCATATACATTAATCAAAACAGTGATTGATGTTGGGCAAGTGGATGTTGAGAAGTGATGTTGGAAAGAAAAACGAAATGCCTGTCTTGAAATTTACGCTCATGGTTTTAGCGGTCGCCGGATGCTGGCGACCAACATCGTGGACATCGCTGTTTAGACACATAATATATAACGTTTATACAGCGTCAATAATTATAATATTGTACATCTTTGCAATGACCCAATTTATAGAGTTGATATTGAGAGCCGACAACATTGACACAATTGGTGATGCTTTGTACAACGTTCTGATTTCGCTTCTCTCATGCTACAAGGCAATTGTTATACGAATAAATCGTGATAGCATTACAATGTTAATTAATAATCTCGTCGAGAAGCCATTTAAACCGGTGGATATGAGCGAAAACATGATTCGGGAAAAGTTTGACAACAGAATAACGTAAGTTTCTTTTAGCATTTAACTGTAGTCGATAAATATTAATTAAATCATTAAAACTGTTTAAATTATATTAAGTACATTTTATATATAAATGATTTTATAGGAATAATACATTATATTATTTAATTCTTGTCATGACAACTGCCTGCTATATAATCTTATTTTCGATATTCACGAATTTCAAGAATGGAATTTTAATGTACAAAACATGGTTACCATTCGACAGCTCAATATCCGCAATATTTTATCTAGCATACGCTCATCAGGCATTATCTCTAATACTTATTTGTCTTATTCATCCTACATGTGACAATTTAATTTGCGGATTTTTACTGCACGTCTGCTGTCAGATCGAGATTTTAGAATACCGTTTGTCAAATATTGCGAATGACCAAAAAAATTTGCGTGATTGCGTACGTCACCACATATATATATTTGAGTAAGTTATATACATATGTATAGGTGTATATGTATCTAGAACAGATTCCTAAACTTTCGTGAACCGCAACCCACTTTTTAAAATAGAGCAAATTCCACGACTCGCATCTAGCTTTAGTGAATATGGAAAAGCGGGGGTGGAGGATACTGATTATTATTTATAACAATAAGTAATAAGTATAATAACGCTCGAATGAAATATTAATAAAACAAAATTCTCAATATCAAAAAATTATAAATAGGATAATATAAAGGGCAGATCCGAGAGTTGTCGTTAAATAGAATTAAAAAATTAATACATTAAAAAAAGTTGTATATGTACGTAGTTTGAATTGTTTTAATTATATTTCTAATGTTAATTATATTTCTAACTTTTTTAATGTATAATATTAATTTCTTATGTACGTCATACGTAGAGATATATGTAGAAGAAAATTGAATACAAAAAAAACTCAGTATTTTAATAATTAAAGAATTAAAAAATCTACTATTTGTGTATTACATGTATATTTATTCAGATCACTTTTAGGACTTATAATAATTACTGTGCTTACTAAGGAAAAAATAAATATATTAATTTCTATTTAGATCATAATCTATGTACATACAACTATATATTAGAAACATTATATCGAAATAAATCTTTTAAACATTATTTTGTTATCTCTTTCTTCAAGAAAATGCAGAATATGATTATCAAATATTTTCCATATTAAAATATTAATACATACTGATATAAATTCATTAATTATATTAAATATCGTAAATATGTCAGTGGATGAATTAAAATTGTTTTTTGTAATTTCAGATACGCATATATAATAAACGATAAATTTGGCAAAATAATCCCTAGTGAGTTCACACTAATTACAGTGGTAATGTGCTACAATTTAATGCATATGGCTTTTAGAGCGTCTAATATCATTACTTATATACAAGATGTTATGGCTATAACGACCGCCCTGACTCCAATTTTTTATTATTGTTGGTTTGGCAATGAAATCAAGCTCAAGGTAATTAGTTATAATTTCACATTTATTAATTACAATTATTTGAAAAAAAAGTTATAAAATTCACATTATATCTATCCGCAATAAAAGAAGAAAATATACAAACACACAATGTTATATACGTTGGTACGTGTGCATGTATCTCAGTTACATCATCAGCCGTATATTTACAAGCGTAATTATATGGTTGATAAAACTTTTTTCATACATAAATATATAGATATACACATATATATATATATATATACACATATATTCTATGTGAAGAGCAATACTGTATAAAAATTATATATACATATATATATTATATATATATGTAATTTTATTATAACTTTATCTGTAGAGCCTTCAATTATCAGATAGTATTTATAATATGAAATGGACTATGTTCAATAACAATGTGAAAAAAGGACTCTTAATGATCATGAATCGTGCTACGATACCAATTGAATTTACTAGCTCAGACATTATGCCAGTGAATCTTGACTCTTTCGTAAAGGTTTGTACGAGGAACTTACTCTTTCATTGTAATAAACAAATAATTTGCCGAATAAATTTTTCATTAATTATATAAGTGTTTAGGTGCTTAAAACGTCATATTCTCTTTTTAATGTAATGATACAGTCGCAAAAACAGTAAAATTGCACCAAATTAAGAGAAAATTGTTATTAATAATAAATATATATATTCAATTTATTGTAAATTATTGGCACATCAAGAGTGACAGTAATTAATTAATAAATGCTAATAAAATTTTAAAAAAATGTCATAAAATTGTCAATGTACATTAAATAATAGTTAATATATTAGTAGAGAAATGCGTGCTCGAGCGATAAAAAAAGCCAAATATAAATAAATTATAAAAATAAATTACAAAAAATAATTATTTACGATACAGGTATAATAAATGAGTATATTATAACTACTATAAACGTTTGTGTTTATTATATATTTTTGTGACGTTAATTTCAACTTTTGTCTCATGCATATGGATTTATCAATATCTATTCAGATAAAAAGTCAAAAATCAAGACTTAAAAGACAAAGAGTAAATACATATGACATACGATAATTACATATGAATAATAATATGTATTATTATTACACGGATAACACGCATCTAAAAGATATGTTATATGTCACATTTTCAGATATGGTGTGTTGTCTGGTGTAACTATTAATAATTATAATACATGTTATTATACATATGTGGTTTAACTATTTCATGCCTAATGTCTTTGAAATAAATATTATATTACATTTTGATGTTGCACTTACTTGATACTCTTTGAAAAAGTGTTTTGATATTTTTACATAATATTAAATTATCATATTATCACACTATTTTTAACAAGAATGTTTCAAGAAGAATCATTGATTTGATTAAATATACAAATATATAAATTATACGTGTATTAGGTAATTATAATATTTAAATGGAAAGAATTGGCTTTAGTATAATGAGCAACCATGATAGGTATTTGAGTTGATCCATGCCTAGAAACAAAATAATATTTTTTCTTATTTATGAAGGGCGCGCCACATACATAAATCGATGTGTTTAATAAAAATTTAAAAACGAATAATGGTACCTTACAATAGGATATATATTTTATCTGTGATATTATCTGTTTCATGAAGATTTTATCCAGGCACAAGCTATATATAAGTTCCTGATTTATTAACTATTATACATATATATGAAGAATTCACTTTCTTGTACAGCAATGAAATATTTTATAATATTATTCACTAATAAATGTTCACTAATAAATACACTAAACATGTAAATACAACTACAGAAATAGTAACACATATAGACTTATTAATAAAAACATAAAGTGTTGATGCAATACAATCATGTAACTCGTAGGGTTAATTTAAGTTTATTATTTAAATGTTTACTACTATCAATTTTACAGTCTCTAAAGACAACTCTAATTTTTGCGCGTTCGTATATGTTTGATATTTGTCGAAAGCGAGAAAGAGAATTCAAGTTCAATCTAATGTGCAGGAACAGAAAACAGACCATATGAAAGTATTAGATAATTCAAACTTAACTCCTAATACCGTCAATGGTGCGTTCTAGTCTAATATATTATAAAGTTTACTGACAGTTTACCTCTATGTTGTATGTTATCGCATCAATAACTCGGTGAAATTGAAGTCTCATAATGGCAAATCATAACCTGCAATGATTTTGGGACACACAAAACATTATTCAATTTATCACCGTTGAGATATCGTAACTACAGCAGGTTAAGGAAATGATAATTTACTCTACTATTCGGCTTTATCCTAGTTTCCTCTAATATCAAATAAAATGTTCTGTCTTTGATATATCAAGATATAATATAATGCATATATCCAGAGATATTGCGAGATATTATTTATATCTCATATCTTATTGATGTAATAAAACAGAATTTACTGTTCTTCCTTTACTGTATTAGAATTCTTCTCCTCTATATATAAATATAATATATAAAAATAGTTGATCTATTTTGTATAAGAAAAATTGCATGTAGAAATAATTCCTCTTGCTATTTCACATAATTATTTCTGTAAAGAGAGTTGCTATTATAAAGATGCGTAAAGGTAAAGTTATTAAATATGTATGAAGAGAGAGACTATACTGTCTATTGTCAAAGAATCGCTTCACATGTCTATAGACGTGCCTAAGTATACTATCTTAAAATTATATTTTTGTCTTTACTTCTCGTACAAAATAAAATCTATCAAGTTGAAGTGTTGTCTTGAAAATATAATAAGTATTGTTTAAAAATACCATAGTTTGTAACATACATTACACAAGCAAACACGTCTTATACAAGTATATTTTTTAAATTGAACGAAAGATAAAAATGCATGTCTTAAAGTTTACATTGTTAATCGTTACGTTTGTTGGGTGCTTTCGACCGCTATCGTGGACATCGCTATTTATGCGTATTATTTACAACTTCTACAGACTATTTATAATTACCATTTTATATATTTTTGCTTTTTTACAATTTGTGGACATTATGATAAACGTCGACAATCCCGACGACTTTATTAACATTTTATATATGGCGTTAAATGTATCTATTTCTGGTTTTAAATTACTGATAATGTGGCTAAATTATAACAATCTTACGACATTAATTACCACACTTAACAAAGAACCATTTAAACCGTTAGATCTAGACGAATTAAAAATTCGTCAAAAATTTGATGAAATAATACGGTAAATACTAATATATATATATATATATAATATATATATATATATCAATATATACATATCAAATCTTATTAGACTGTGAGAGTTAAAACTAATAATAATAAATACAGATGAGAAACATGCCGGGGAACGGTCATTCAATATTATTAAGATTAAAGATGCTATCAGCATCAAAATTGTTAGATAGTCAGGTTAACTCATGATAGTACTGAGGTAGCTTATTATAGAGTTTGCGTTGTAAATCTAAAAAATTTCGGCGCGCATTTGCGTATATAATATATAAATTCACACGAAATTATATAGAAGCATCCAAGATCTAGCTTGACCGTTACAGCATGTTTCTCATCGGTGTATGTATGTATGTATATGTGTGTGTGTGTGTGTGTGTATGTATATATATATATATACAAGTATATATATATATTCAACTTTTATTTAACAATGTGATTTTTAGGTCAAACACATTACGTTACTCAATTTTGATTGCGTCATCATGGACATTCATGAGTTTAATGTCGTTGCTTACTGACTTTAAACACAGAAAGTTAACATATAGGGAATGGGTACCGTACGATTATTCGTCTTATATGACATTTTGCGTTACGTATGTTCATCAAATTCTAAGCACATTTTATTGTGCTAGCGTAAATGTCGCCTGCGATACTCTCATATGTGGTTTCTTAATGCACGTATATTGTCAAATTGAAATCTTGGAATATCGCTTAAAGAAGATTTTAAGTGATCAAAGCATTTTGGACTACTGCATACGCCATCATAACAGTATATTTCAGTTAGTCATCTTAATAATATTGAAAAAAAAACCGTTGTAAAAAATTCAGGATTTCCCCCCATGATTTTGATTTATAATTCCATGATTTAATTATTGTATTAAGAGGAATATATAATGATACATATATATTAAATTTTCTTAAATTGAAAAATTACAGAATTAAATCAAGATATTTAAATAAAGTATAACTTATTTTCCCTCTTATATCTAAATAATTCATGTATATTTATTGTTATTATTATTATTTTGTTAAAGTTCAATCGGCATCATTAAGTTGTTTAGCTAATAATCACTGTATAATGTATATGTATAGTTTTTAAAATAACTTGTCATACATATATGATTTGGTACATACAATTATTATTACATTATAGAATTAAAAAATTTAATTGCAGATTTGCACGTTCCGTAAATACAAAATTCTCGCAAATAATTGGATTACAATTTATAATAAGCACATTAATAATATGCTCTAATTTGTATCAACTGAGCCAATCATCATTAAACGCAGACAGTATTGGTATAATTGGATTCACGTGTTGCATGTTAACAGAAATATTTATTTATTGTTGGTTCGGACACAAAATAAAATCGAAGGTATTAACTAATTAATGAAACAACTTTTTTTACAAGACACAGTTTGTATAAGAAAATTGAATTAATTATTTTGCGACGCATTATCATAATATTATCCGTAAAAATGATATTATGAATTAACGTAAATTACGTATTATTAATTATTAAATAAAAATTAGCAACAATAGTATATTGTCTATAATTATTCATTAAAAATATGTTGTGTATAATCAAAACGACCAACGTTAAACAAATATTATTTCGCATATTAATTTATAGAGTGTTCAAGTAGCAGATAGTGTTTTTCAAACAAAATGGCCAGTACTAAATAATAGCGTCAAAACTAATCTCCTAATAATTATGAAACGCGCTACAGTACCTATTGAATTTACTACTGCACATATCATCAGTTTAAATTTGGACTCCTTTGTGGCGGTGGGTATATTAGTTTTGTATGATATCTATCGTCGATTTTGAATGAAGCCTTTATTATACATGTTCATTATTATTTAGGTGATAAATGTCTTGTAAAGCCAGTCACTGATTGATTGTGTGTGATTTGATTTATTCTAAAATTATATGACAATTCCTATTACAATTTTCTGTTGTAATAGGAATTGTCATCTAATTTTTAAATAAACCAAATTACACACAATTGACCAGTGACTGGTTCTACAAGGTATTGTTTATCGACTATATGATACATCTCTACAGAGCTTTATTAATTATATTAACCTTAATATTCATTATTATTTTAGCTGCTCAAAATATCGTACTCCACTTATAGTTTATTAGTACAAGTACAGGAAAAATAATATAAATGTAAAATGTTTTCGATTGCAATATAGTTGCAATATATACATATTCATATATCTGTAATAAAAACGTAATATAAATAAATTATTATGTTATCGATGTTTTATGTGGCAAATCTAGTATCTATTGATATTCCATTTCCATAAAATGTATATTCGTTAATAATAATTTTTTACTAACGTTATTTTATATAGAACGTAATGCAATAAAAAATTATTAATTAGATATATAGTAATTTATTAATGAGAATATTAATATTTATGTAAAAATACGATTTATATAATAGCCAATATTTAATTATAAATAAAGATAAATATTCAGTTATAAAAACAAGAGAAAAAATTCTTTTACAATTTTTAAGTTTTTTTGTTGTATTTTGTATTACTGGAAAATAAAGACTATGAAAGTATAATGTTAGACAATTCGAACTTAACATTGTGATTACTCGATCAACTATTAGGAAAATTTAAGTATAAGAATAATATTAAAAAATGACATAATGATGCTTATGTTTTGTTCCAAATGTCACTGTTACTTAACGTTACTTTGTGTTTCAAAATTTACTGCCAATGTATATCTATAAATTATAGATTTTCAGTGGCAGTAAATTTTGGAACACTGAATCTGTTATTTCAAAACTTTATTTTATAGTTATATGTAAATAATTCGTAAACAATATGGGTTTACACACACAGATGCGTATAATGTATCATAAAAACAAAATAATGTTTAACATTCTTATTGTTGCAATGTTTTAAATTCATACAGCTATAAATTCAGTGTGGTATGTAACATTATAAACGAATTATTTTTATAAAGCTTTAGTCACATACTTTTTAACATAAAAAAACAATTAATGAATCAACTAAGGAAGCATTGATATTGCTCAAATTTATTATTTATATTATAGTGTATTATTAATATTACAATGAATATTTAGATATTTATATAATGTAAAAAGGATTATATTATGTTTTACACTTACTACATAAAACTTGCATAAATGTTAATAATCTATAAAAAGATCATAACTTTGCATACCTTTTTTCATGTTCAACCAAAAATATCAAAAACTCATCTGAAAGAGTGCACGATATCATAATACTATACCATATATGTACTTAGAACGTAGATACTGTGATAGGCAATGTTATGGTAACAGCTTGTAACTGAGTTTACGGATGACATTAATGTTTCATGCAGGTAAGCTATAGTCGTTGCTTAATATTTAACGAATTTATTTTTTTATATACCTCTATTGTATCACAGAACAATATTGTGATATTACTGATGATTATAAAAAAAAAAAAGATATTTTTCAATAGACAATACAACAAAGAAAACTGTATCAAGTATCTCGGAGTCTATGGCTAGTGCTCTATCGATGACAATTAAAAAAATTTATTTTTCTATATATATCTGACTGTGTATACTTGATATCTTTTATACAGGATTGTCTGCTATTGCCTCTGCAAAAATAACAGTACATTACACAATTTCATAATAAAGGTATTATTTCAGAAGAATGTCACTCCTCAATTCTCGGGAATATTATTTCATGAGAGAACGGCTGCAAGCCTGTTATTATAATAATAACATAGATACTTTATACGAAGAGAAAAGTTGGGTGAAATATCGTTATCGAATTGAGACTATAGACATTATGAGATTGTTTCCTTGTAACATCATTTGACTTATCACATAACGTGTACAGCGAATATTTGATTAAAATTTTTGAAGTTTTCAACGAACTGTTCCACACACAAATCAATTTAAATTTTCAGTAAGTTTAATATATAAAAAAGTGAAATATTTCTTATAAATATAATAAATAATAGTACTATATAATATTATTTTAATTTTATAATATCATAGTAATCCTAACTTATTGATATACACAGTTATTTCATTGTAATAATATATGCATTAGATAATAAAGTTTTGATTTATTTTTATTATTTTTATTAAATTTTTATATTTACATTTATATTTATTAATATACATAAAGGCGATTAATTAGCGATAATATTTAGAGAAATACAAGATGAAATATCTTTTAATGCAATATTGTAAATATTGTAAGTTTACATGTAACATATGAAAAAAACAATCACGGTCTATTAATTACCGTTCGTTTAGTACATTATCATAATAACAAAATTGGTAGTAAATAAGTGCATATGCATTAATGAAAACAGTGAATGATGTTGGGCAAGTGGATGTTGAGAAGTGATGTTGGAAAAAAAAGCGAAATGTCTGTCTTGAAATTTACGCTCACGGTTTTAGCGGTCGCAGGATGCTGGCGACCAACATCGTGGACATCGCTGTTTAGACATATGATATATAACGCTTATACAGCGTCAATAATTATAACATTATACACCTTTGCAATGACCCAAATTACGGAATTGATATTGAGAGCCGATGACGCTGACACCATTGGCGACGCCTTGTTCAATGTTCTTATTTCGCTTCTGGCATGCTACAAGGCAATCGTTATACGAATAAATCACGATAGCATTACAATGTTAATTAATGCTCTTGTCGAGAAACCATTTAAACCGGTGGATCTTAGCGAAAACATGATTCGAGAGAAGTTTGACAAGAGAATAACGTAAGTTTTTTTTTTAACATTTGTGTGTTATCGATAAATATTAATTAAATTATATTTATACAATACATATATTTTATATATAAATAATTTTATAGGAATAATACATTATATTATTTGATTCTCGTCTTGATAACTGCGTGCTATATGATCTTGCTTTCAATATTCACGAATTTCAAGAATGGAATTTTAATGTATAGAGCATGGTTACCATTCGACAGTTCAATATCCGCACTATTTTATTTAGCATACGCTCATCAAGTATTATCTTTAATATTTATCGGACTTGTTCATCCCACATGTGATAATTTAATTTGCGGGTTATTGCTGCATATTTGCTGTCAAATCGAGATTTTAGAGTACCGCTTGTCGAATATTGCAAATGACCAAGAAAATCTGCGTGATTGCGTACGCCATCACATATATATATTTGAGTAAGTAAATTACTAAGCAAAAAATAATATATTAATTTCTGTTCACATCATAACTATTTATTAGAAACATTATATCGAAATTGTGATCTTTTATTAATAATCGTTTTATTATTTTTGATATTAAAAAGTGCAGATTATCAACATGAACTAATTTTTTGTAAGAATTATAGAAGCTATTATAAAGACATATAAGATATTTTTGATGTTAAAATACACACACTAACACAAATTTATTAATTATATTAGATATCCTAAAAATTTGTATATGAATTGAAAATAATTTTGTAATTTCAGGTATTCATATATATTAAACGATAAGTTTGGTAAAATAATCCCTAGTGAATTCTTACTGATCACAGTGGTAATGTGCTACAATTTAATTCATATGGCTTTTAGAGCGTCTAATGTCGTTTCTTATATACAAGACGTTATGGTTGTAGCTACCACTCTGGCTCCAATTTTTTATTATTGCTGGTTTGGTAATGAAATCAAGCTCAAGGTAGTTCTAGTAACTAATTATAGTTTCATAATTATTAATCATAATTATTTGAGAAAAAAGTAAGTTGCAAAATTGATATTTTATCTACTGCTAAAAAGAGAAATACATACACAGATGTTTTATACATATAGATACACACACACACACACACACACACACACACACATATATATATATTTCAGATGTATCATCAGCCATATTTACAAGCGTATTGAATTATACACTATATTATTTATATATAAATGTTACATATATTTACCATATGTGTGTATAATTTCTCTTTTACACAGTCCACCCAAAATGATCTCCGAGTGATTGATCTTGACTCTCAAAAAGGTCATAATCATTGACCTTTTCCATCGTTCATTATTTATTAAAAAGTTATTAACAAAAAAGTTTGAAAACTAACGATTCTTTTCTATTAAAAAAGAAACAGCCTTTGCTTTACGTTGTACATGTATAGCTGTCAATACGATTTTAATGCGAGAATACTGCAATTTTTTAGATTAATAGCCTTTTTATACCTATTAAATGATATTTCATCAAGTAATGAATAAAATGTAATTCTTCCTCATTCAGTAAAAAAAATGTAATAAGATAAAATGTAATTCTTCACATTCTTCATATTAGAATGTGTATGTTGTGTTGAAAATGTATCCTATTCATATAAAAACGTTTTAATTAATAACTTTTTAATGAATTACGAGCGATAAAAAAGGTTGATTACCTTGACTTCTTGAGGGTCAAGATAAAAATCTAGGTTACTCAGAGATCATTTGGGGCTGACTCTGCAAAGAGGAAGTTTTACCATACATTGTATTGTATATGTATAACATATACATATGTATGTATATATAATTTTATTATAACTTTATTTATAGAGCCTTCAATTATCAAATAGTATTTATAATATGGAATGGACTATGTTTAACAATAGTATAAAGAAAGGACTCTTAATGATCATGAATCGTGCTACGATACCGATTGAATTTACCAGCGCAGACTTTATGCCAGTGAATCTTGACTCTTTTGTAAAGGTTTGTATCAGGAACTTATGTTTTCAATGTAATAGACAAATAATTTGCTGAATAAATTTGTTATTAATTATATAAGTATTTAGGTGCTTAAAACATCATATTCTCTTTTTAATGTAATGATACGGTCGCAGAAACAATAAAATAGAACAAAATTGAAAAATTTAATAAAAGATGTATATTACATTTATTATATATTATTGACACATGAAGGGCGACAGTAATTTATTAATTAATGTTAATGACAAATTTCTAAAAGAAAAATATCATAAAATTGTTAAAACATATTAAATAATAGTTACTATATTAGTAGAAAAAAGCGCGCACGCGTGATGGAATGAGTCGAATACATAAATTGCGGAAAATATTATTTACAATAAAGGTATATAAGTATAACTATTACAAACGTTTTTATGTTTATGTTTGTGACGTTTTAGTTTCATCTTTTCTCTTATGTACATATAGTTGACCAATATGTTTAGACAACAAAAAATCTTAATTAAGACAATATCAAGACTTAATTAAGACGAAAAGTTAATTACATATGTATATAATATTATGTATATAATATTATGTATATAATAATTATTACCTACACAAATAAAATAAGATGTCTTATATCTCGTTTTTAGACATGCATATTGCATGTGTTTGATATAATTATTAGTCTACAAGTTTGCTCCCGCCGTTTTCATATAGATAGTTTTATACTTGTAAAAACGGCGGGAGCAAACTTGTATTACTATATTAATACGTGTTATTATACATAAGTAATTAATTATTTGTCTAATTTCTTTGAAATAAATATTGCATTTTATTTTTTTTATATTACACTTGCCTGATACTTTTTGAAAAAATGTTTTAATATTTTTATATAATATTAAGTAAAGTTAAAAGATAAAGAACTCCTTATGTAAAAATAATTAAATAATAATAAAAGGACAATTAAGAATCACGTTCAAAAAAATAAATAATAAATTAATTATATGAACATAAACATGTAATTAATTATCTTTAAATGGAAAGGATTGACTTTTATATAATAAGCAATCTCAGTACTACTTGAATAGATCTGTGCCTCGAAACACTATAATATTAGGTCTGTTCTTTTTGACTGAACTTTTGCACCAGTTCATCTTTCTTCCTTTTCTCTCTAGGAAAATAGAAAAGGAAAACAGATGAACTGGTGCAAAAGTTCAGCCAAAAAGAACAGGCTTATTCTCTCATTTATGTAAGGTGCAGCAGATATGTACATAAATCTTTAAGGAAAACGAAGTGCTTAATAACAATTTAAGAACAAATAATGGTATCTTATTATAAAGTATATATTAAGGTAGTATTATCTATTTTATTAAGATTTTAATCAAGCAAGCCACATCAACTTATTAAGAATATAAAGATTTCATTTGTATGTTTTACTCGCATCTGCGTACCGTTTATCTACGAAAATACAGCATATTACGCAATTTTGTTATAAAGATTATGTATTATTAAATGATATTATATGTAGGAGTTATGGGCTGATAATTATAGTTCATTCTTATATTTAAGACTATTTTAAGTAGTCTTAAGATGTCACGAATTAATAATCAAAGCCGTATACTAGCATCTTTAGATATTATTATACTTAGAACGGTTAATTATAAGAGATTACGAATACCATAGAAAGTATTATTATACGCAGAGAATGAAAACTCATATCTTAATAATGTGTGTATAAATACACGATACATGTATAAATACACGAAAGGAAGAAAACATTTTATAAAGAATAGAGATTGTTTTCAAATATATATATATATATATATATATATATATAAAATGATAAAACATTTTTAAAATATATATTGAATAAAAATTAAGATTTAGATTTAAATTATAGAATACGAGAATATTTTATTATGTATTATAAATATAATTGCATGAGTACAGTTTATGCAAAGTGTTTCATTTTTGCATTTTCTCTGATATTATTATATTATCAGATGAAATTGTCTAAAAAGTTCACGCTACCTGCAAAAAACATATTATAGTTAATAACACCCATACCTTTTTTGCACAGTTCATCGAAATTCTCATAATTAATGTTTTAATTGTTATTGATAATTATCATAAAATACGAAAAGCTTAATATCATAGAAATTATTATTTCTATTATATCACTGTTAGATTAACTTCTATGATTCACTTTCTTCTCGATGTTTATGTTTTGCTGTGAAATCGAAGCATAGTACGTAATGACACGTATCAAGCACTAGGTAGTAACACTAATAAAAAAAACATTTTTGATAAGAAAAATACAAGAAGTGGCGCGTGAATATTTCATAGAGACAACTCTTACACCTGATGTTCTATATTGATGAACCTTCAAAAGTATATTCACATTGCCTTTTACTTGCGGAAATGTTATTTACCCCATCGCGTGACAAATATTGTAGCTTATCTACATGTAGACTCATGAAAATAATATTCCGTCGCAAGATGCATATTACGGTAATAATAGAGACGCATAAAAAGGGGTGCGGTGAACGGGTACTCTACATTCTACAATATCAGAAAGTAGTGAGGCTATAGATGTTCTGGATGTATTTCAATTTCTTGTAAAATTTGTCTATTGCTATTTGATGCGTGAATATGATATAATCATATAATTTTTTTTACAAACTATTGAAATAATATTATTTGTCAAGATATTTGTAGTAAATTTTTAATGTAATATGTCAAGTGAAAATTGTTCACTTTGTAAGTATAACGAATATTACGAATTTATAAGTTTTATATATTAAAAAAATAGGATATTGTATAATTATATCATGTTTATTTCAAAATTATGGCTTGCTTATACTTATACATCAAAATCTTTTTATTTATTTAAAGATAATTCATTAGTAGAAATATTTTTTCACTTGACTAATGTTAATGACGTTAAACACTTAAGTAATTAAATTTTGAAGTCTATTTAAAAATATATGTTAGAAAAAACAATATTTTACTTTTTATTAATATTTTAATATTTTTTTTATATACGTGTATATAATATATTAGACGTATAAATAGATGTAAATATAGATTTAACATTATGAGTAATTCGTGAATAGGCAAAATTAAATCTTAAAAAGTTTGAATGATTGTGCTGCAGTTTACACTAATACTCTGCGCAGTCAGCGGATGCTGGCAGCCGCTTACATGGACATCGCTATTTCAATATATGATGTATAACACTTATAGAATATTGTTAATTTGCGTGTTATGTACATTTACGATATCGCAAGTTATGAATATTGTATTAAATATTAACAACTTCGGTGAAATAAGCGATAATATATATATGACGTTGACAGTATTCATCGCGACTTACAAAATAGTTACTATGTGGATAATTAAGGAACATGTCATAATGATAGTTAACGTTCTCACAGAGGAACCTTTTAAACCGTCGGAATCATGTGAAATAATAATTCGACAAAAATATGACAAAACAATAAGGTAAATATTTTAATCTTAAATTATATAAATAAATTTAACAATCATAATTTAGTAACTAATTTCTGAATAATTAGATTATTTTAACATTTGCGCGCGCGTGTTGCGTTATTAAATATTCAAATTATTTAATTATAATACAATGTACATAATATAATGTTTAGCCCAATATGATTATTTTTAACATGAACATAATTATTTAATGTTTTAATTATTACTAGCATAAGCATTTTTCTAATGCTTATAAACCATCAATATCCCACAAATAACATAGATGTAAATAGTAATGTAATGAGGGAAATATAGCAATAAGAGTTTCAAGTAGACTTTTACAAAACAAGTGGATGTAACTATTTTTCATAGCTGAGTATTATAGAATTATTTTCACAAGAAATACATTTTACAGGAAATACGCAGTATGGTATTATGGCCTTGTCCAAGTAACAGTCATATGCATAATCTTAAATGCTATCTTTATGGATTTTATGGAAGGAAATTTGACATATAAAGCATGGGTGCCATTCGACTGCACATTACCTATTACATTTTTGTTCGTATTTACTCACCAAATGATAGGTATGTCAATCTGTGCTGCTGTAAATGTTGCCTGCGATAGCCTGGTATCTGGACTCCTGCAGGAAATCTGCTGTCAGTTTGAAATTCTGGAATATCGATTGACGAAAATCTTACATGAAAAACATATTCTTCGCGATTGTGTACGTCACCACAATCGTATATATGAGTTAGTTTTTAAAACCACTCTGTTATTTCAAATATTTGCAATGTAATCATTTTGTATAAAACTTTTTGTTTCTATCGTTCTTTTCGAAATCATCAATTTAAAATAATTCGGAAATTATTAATTTGTTTATGTGACAAAGAATGTCACATATGAAAGATATTCGATAAGATTGATAAATGACTTTCAACGTTACACATAAATTAAAATCCTTTATTTAATTATAGATACGCGTATATAATAAATCGTAGATTTGCAAAAATAATTGCTCTCCAGTTTGCAGTAAGTATGCTAGTGGTGTGTGCTAATTTATATAAACTGGCTGCTATTTCTCTCCTGATGATCAATGGAAGTCTTATTGTGCTGATACTGTATACGGCCTGTATGTTATCACAGATCTTCATCTATTGTTGGTTTGGAAATGAACTCAAATTGAAAGTACATAATTCATTTATATATGGGGCATTCCACGCCAAGTGGGCCACCCATTTTGCGAAGTTTCATGGATTTCGTTCATATTGGTTGAACTTGAACAGTTTGATGAATAAAGACTCTATGCCGAATAATACACCTGTAGGCCAACTGGTTGCCGAACTATAGAGCCGTCAATTTTTGGGCTTTCTCGTCGCAGTGCTCTCTTCGTTTGTCATTAGTGGGCATGAAAGGCAAGTTTGGAAACGAAATGTAGACGTTTCCTTATAGAAAATTGAACGCTCTTTCACGTAAGAATACTCTTTTTTTCGATCAGACCGGTTTACGACGATGTTTGTCAGTTTTGAAGTTTTTAAAATGGCGGCGCGCCTAAAAGACCAATCTCAATTTTCTTTTAATGTAGTTCAAAATGTAGCCCCAGGTCTTTACTTTGTTACTCTAAAAGGACTTAATGGGACACGCATTCGTTTGGGAGTAAGAGCTAAGAAAATGAGGAAAATGAGTGCCGCGGTAGGGGGACGGAGCGACATTGCCTCACTTTCCTAGCTCTTACTCCCAAACGAATGCGTATCCCATTAAGTCCTTTTAGAGTAACAAAGTGGAGACCTGGGGCTACATTTTGAGCTATATTAAATGAAAATTGAGACTGGCCTTTTAGGCGCGCCGCTATTTTGAAAACTTCAAAACTGACAAACATTGTCTTAAACTGGTCTGATCGAAAAAAGAGTATTCTTACGTGAAAGAGCGTTCAATTTTCTATAAGGAAACGTCTACATTTCATTTTCAAACTTGCCTCTCATACCCACTAATGACAAGCGAAAAGAGCGCTGCGACGAGAAAGCCCAAAAATTGGGTGGCCCACTTGGCATGGAATGCCCCATATGTATATTATAATCTTTTATAAAAAATAATTTACTTTTTTTCATTTATAACGTTTTCTTCTGTAACTATACTAGGACTTAAGAATACATAAATAAAAAATTATCAAAAAAAAATTATATAACACATGATTTATCATTTTATAATAATACACAATACTTTAAATGTTTACTTACAGAGTACCAGAGTAGCAAACAGCATATACAATATGAAGTGGCAACAGCTTGATAATAAGAGCACAAAAGCTCTCCTGCTAATCATGAGACGCTCGATGATCCCTATTGAATTTAACAGTGCGATTGTCATTACATTGAATCTTGACTCGTTTGTATCTGTCAGTATTAATTAATAATGAAAAATTGTTAATTTTTTTTATAAATGTTTTAAATAATATGAAATACATCTTAAATTTGTATTTACAGTTACTTAAAGCATCGTATTCGGCTTACAATATATTAAAACGCGCGCAGTAAAATGGATAAATAGAAACTGTTTTTGTTCATATTACAGAAAGCGACATATAAGGTATGTTGAAGAGTAAAAATATATTAGTTAATACCAATGATATAAACATATCATTGACATTATCTAATTTATTTTTACACAATATATGAAATATTTGCGGAAGACTTTACATACGTATTTTATTTATGGTGTGTAAGAAAAGATATTAAGAATATGGTTATAATAAAAGAGAAACAAAATTACAATAGTATAATATTACAAGGAATTTATATTAGCATGTCAAAATACATATTATATTCAAATTATAATTAAATATTATTATAAACGTTTCTAATATTTCTATTATTAAATTTCTGTTATTTCTCCTTGGGTTATAAATATTTATAAGCTACATTGAAACTGTTGATTGATATTTTATTATAATAAATAATATCATAACTAAGAATGCTTGTAAATAAATATAATAGAAACACTTTATTAATTATAATTACTGTAAAAACACAAAAAAAAACAAATTCAATATAATTTCTTCAAATTGACTTTGAATGATTGTGCTTTAATTTAACTAAAATATAGTTTCTCTATTCTGGCACCAATTATTTATTAGTGCTGGTTCGGCAATAAAATCAAGCTGAAAATAAATGATATGTTCGCAGAAACAGTGATGTAACACAAGATTAAAAATTGGTATTAATAATAAATTAATATGCATATATTGAATTTATATTACAGATATATCACTAATAATCTATTAATTAACATCAAGGACAAATTTTCAAGATAAAATATCATAAAATATGTAAAATAATATATTAAATAATAGCTAATATATATTAGTAGAGGAACGTGTGCACGTGCTATGAAATAAATCAAAATATAGGTAATTTACAAAAATTAATTATCTACAATAAAGGTATATAAATATAACCTTATTTATTTACCATTGTTCCTTCTGCAATAAATATATAAATGGAACAAAATGTCAATTAGTCTTTTATGCCAACAAGCCTTGATTCCTGTAATTTATGCAATATGATTCATTTTTGTGTTTTCCTTGATATTAAATGATTGGATTGTTAATTAAAGTGTCATTGCAATTACTGTTAAGCATGTATTAACTCACATTTTTGTATATATCGAAAATTTTCGTACAATATTATTTTAATTGTTGCTCTAACTATCAACATGTAAAAAGAGTTTTCGATCTTCGTAGAAGATATTATGTTACTATAGTTAGACCAACTTCTATAATTCACCTTTTCTCCGACGTTTATATTTCATTGGCAATCGAAATCAATATGTAAAGTGTGATGACATGTGAAGCACGTGATAAAATGTAAAGTATTGAGTAGCGAAAATAATAAAGAAGTATTTTTTTTAATCAATGTACATACGATAAGGACTTGCATGAATACTTTATAGGAGAAATTTATACTTTGTATTTTACATTGATGAATCTTCAAAGTATCTACATCTCCACTTTGCCTTCTACCTTATTGAAATATTATTGAAATATTATTTACAATATTTACCGCACATCACATGAAAAAATTGCAATTTATCTACATGTTGTTTGATGGAAATATTATATATAATATTCCGCGCCGTCGCAAGATCGGTATTACGATAATAATAGAGATAGATAAAAAGAGTTTGGTGCACGAGTATTGTGTACTGTCAGGGAACACGGTGTCGCGAGACTATAGACATTCCGGGCGTATCTTCCTCTCTCATACAATTTATTCATCCTGTTTGACGCGTAAATGATTCAGTTACATATATATTTTTGCGATTAAATAATATCAATTACTTTTAAGATATTTGCAGTAATACATGTAATGTGGTGTTAAGTAATTGATTGTGAGAATTAATTATTTTGTAAGTATAACAAATATTGTAAATTTATATTTTAAGAAATGGTATTGTGGAATTATATGTATATTATGTTTATTTTAAAATTATGGCTTTTTTAAATTAAATATGGAAAACAAACTAGAAGATAAAGAAATGCCCATTTTCGTTGACAATTTTTTTTTAACAAAAACTATTTCTTTAAAACAGAATTTTTAATAATAAATATCTTACATATTAGTGAATTGTGTTAGTGCTGTTTGTGTGCATGTGCGTGTGCGTAGGCGCGCGTGTGTGTGTGTGTGTGTTAGTATTTTTAATTAGAAATAATCCTAATATACGTATATTGGTCAAAATCTTATTTAAATTAAATAAACAATTTTTGCAAAATGATCCGTAAAAATAGGAATCTGATCCTCTTTTTGGTGTATATTCTTCTTTTAAATAATTCAATTTTGAAGTCAAGGGGATCCTGAAGACGATTAGTCATATTTTGTTGGAAATAACATCTACACACAGATTACATGTCATTGACACATTATTCCATCAATATCTCACGCATGCACGCTACACATATACATAAGTTTTCGTACCGCAATCACGTTTTAATTAGACATCTAAATTCAATTTTAAGAATTTCATGCTGTTTCTTCATACAAACCACTGGTGTGTGGAATATTTCGTAAGTACAGATTGCATAGCTTTTATATGAAGTAAATGTTGTCACAATGTGCAACGATGTGACGCTATGGAACGCCATATTGGACTAGAAGTAAAGTAGAACTCAATTTCGAAATTTTTTGTCGTTTTCAGCATAGATTCTACCTCATAAATACATATTAATACGTATACTTTAATCATGGAAAAGGATTTTCGAATCTGTGAATGACAAAAAAAATATTTGCAATAAAAAAAATTATAATCTGTAATACGGACGACTTTAGGATCCCCTTAAATAAAGTTAAACTTTACATTTTTTTAAAAGATATATCAGAAAAAAAAATATTTTATTGTATTTGACATATATGTATACAGAGAGTGTTACATACATACATATATATATATATATATACATATATATATATTATACGTGTATAATACATTCT